TTGCCATTTGGGACGGCCATCCCAGTCCGGACGGCCGTCCCAACCCGGACGGCCGTCCCAAAGTGCGCCAGCTGCGAAAAACTATAAATAGGAGGCTCATTTGCCACTTTTTCACACCACGGACACTCCGAGAGCTCTGAAACACTTTAGAGCACTTGTCTACTTCTCTCTCTCTCTCGAATGATCTTTCCGATTGCCTTAAATAGGTAACAATCGGTTAAGGAATTATATTCCGGCATTTGATTCTTCTTTAAATTTTTAGTAGAGTCGATCTTGTATTGGTGAGGAGAGACTGTAGTAGAGAGGGGTTGCCAAAACGCATCCTCACAGGTTCGAGGTTCTCAATATAAAGCTTGCTACTGAGGTTCTTTTCAATTCCCTTCTCTTTTATTGTTTTATTTATTATTTTATTGTTTTATTTAGCTTTATTATGTCATGTAGAATAGGATCATGTAGATAGCTATTTTAATATCTCTTTTATTGCTTTATTTAGCTTTATTCATCATTTTATACACGCAACATATAATAAAATCATGTAGATAGCCATTTAATATTATGTAATAAAATAGGGTAATCGCGTAATTTCTCGTAGTCTTTATTTAAATGAATTAATCTGTCATAGGGAACCCGAAAGGGGCGTTGTGGGGTGCTAACACCTTCCCCACACGTAACTAACTCCCTTACCCAACTCTGGTTATAATGGCCAAGTGCGGTTTTTCTTAAAATCAACATTTTTTCCTTTTCCAATGTTTATGGTCAAAACATTGGTGGCGACTCCATAAGAACCCCTTTTCGAAAACCTTTTAAAACAAAAACGCGAGTCTAAACCATCTTTTCGCGACCGCTCGCATAAACGTTTCAAAGACGTCCCCTCCGGACGTCTGAAAGGGACTACGGCGACAAGGATTATTATTATTATTATTATTATTATTATTATTATTATTATTATTATTATTATTATTGTTGTTGTTGTTGTTGTTGTTGTTTTTCCAACATCTCCAACTATTTATTGATTTGTCTTATTTAATTTTATCCAATTACGTGTTGTTCTTGTATTATGTTTGTTTGTTTATCTCTAGTTCTGCACTTGTTCTATTTTAATTATCTCCAGGTTACGTATCGATTCTGTCTTATATTTGTTTATTTACAGTCTTGCACTGATCCTATTTTAATTATCTCTAGTTCTATTTTAATTATCTCTAGTTACGTACTGATTCTGTCTTATATTTGTTTATTTACAGTCTTGCACTGATCCTATTTTAATTATCTCTAGTTACGTATTAGTCCTGATTTATGTTTATTTATTTATTTCTCGTCCTACACTGATCTTATTTAAATTATCTCCAGGTTATGTACTCGGTCCTATTTTATGTTTATTTATCTTTAGTCATGTCCTGACCCTATTTTAATTATCTTCAGTTATACACTTTACTTATTTGTTAATTCATATTTATATTGTTTAATTGTTTTTAAATAATAATATTTATTTATGAAAATTTGATAATATTATAAATGAAGGTTAAACCTTGAGGATTGAAATGAATAAATATAATTAAGAATGAGATTAAAATTAAACTTATTTATTCTCACTAATCACTATAAATTTAATTCAAATTTTCTTAATATAAAATATGTTAAAAAAGTTGAAAAATATATTTTATATATTATTATAAGATTGTATTATTTTAAATGATAAATATTTTTACTTCTTATTATAATATATTGTATATAATATATTGTATATGTTATATTTATATATCGATTTAAGCAGAGGAAGGTGTCAAATATCCAGATCAAATTTCTTGAAGGTGAAAAATATAATGCGTGGGGAAATTGAAGGGGATTGAAGAAGGATTTGGCTAGGTTCATATGTGGGGCCACCATAGTTTATTTGCGTGGAAAATTGTGTTTGATGTGGGAGTGCAAAAGTAAATGAGAAAGATATGGAGATTTGGTGTGTTGAGACTGGAGTGAATAAAATTTCGTATGAGAAATTGTGGGGTTAACTTGGTTGGTCTGGGAAGATTCTCTTTATTCCTAAAGGCTCTGGTGTACATTATTTTATTTTATTTTTTTACCTTATGACTTTGCTGTTATAAATATTTTTTAAAATTTATTTTGAATGGTTATCACTTGATCTTATAAGTTCTTTTTGAGTTTATAACATTTATCGTTCCAGAATTTGTATAATTGTGTGTGAAATTGTGAATACATAAAATATAGCTGCTCCAGTGCTACAAGTAAATTATTTTGAGTTTTAATGTTTTAGATTTATTTTTATTTACATGTGAAAACATGTTAAAAAAATAATTATAATTTTTCTTATAATTTTATTTTTGACAAAAAACATTTGAGATTTATTTTACAATATTTAGCAGGAAAAGAATTCTTGTATCGCGTTTCATTGATATTCCATTGCGTTTCATCGTTCTGTCTAACAAGTCTGACGTCACTTATAAGATTAATTTTTCTGCATTTCGTCTTATTCAGTCTCTGATTTTAGGTGAATGATACATAATTTCTTTGTTAATGTTGAATTGATCTTTTATAATTTTAATATTTTGTGGCAATTGTTTTCCTTCGTAAATTTGTTTTGGTTTAAATTTTCCAATATGTTTCATTAAGATTTTTAGTTGTAAATTGGATAAGTTTTCTTTCAGAATATTTAGATATTATATTTGTGAATTAACTGTTTGAGTAAATTAAAATATTTAAAAAAATATATTTAAAATAAAAGTGAATACAGTAGTAAATTGAAAATGGTAATTTTTTGATATTGTGAAATTATATATATATATTTTATACTATTACATTTGATATTGCTCTAACATTTTAATAATGGCAAATTACAGTTAATTTTGAAAAATCTTTGATATTGTTTTTAAATAACACATAACATATTTTATCGTTCAACACCTATTTTCAATTTATATATATAAGGGATATAGATTTTTATCTATGTACAAATATATATTTTTTATTTTTAATTATAAAGTTATTTTTAAAATATTTAAATTCAAGTTACAATTGCAATATTCTAAAAAGTAAGAACTAAATTAAACCATTTATTTTTTATTAAAATATTATATATATATATATATATATATATATATTGGAATATATTTGAGTTTTTTAATATAAAATATAGTTTTAAAATTAGTTTTGATATTCAATTAGAACTTGTTAAATCATTCAGATAATGCAAAAGTATAAAAACCTATATTAAATGTATGTAAGGAATGAAGCTGATAACTTCATAAAACAAAAATATTTTAAAAATAAATAAACGAGAGTGAAAATAATAGATACTAAAAACATAGACTATCTTAAACGTTTATATACAGAGGGGTGATTTTTTAAAATATTTTTTAATTGATTAATAATATAATTTGTTATTATTATCATTATAGGAGAATTACTTTAAAAAATCAATATAATGTACATGTTAATAGAATATTTTTGCTTTCAACATTAAAGCCAATCTAGTAATGGGTAGAAAGATGAACAATTTGCATAATATTCTGACACTAATCAAATAAGTATTTCAATGCTAGAGATAAAGTTATAAGAATACATATAAATACAAGTATATCACCTTTATAATTGATCTATATTGTCATAGATATATTTCCAAAATATAAGTTTAAATTAGAATAATTTTTTTTACAACAATAATAGGTTAAAGGAGATAAGAGATTAAACAAATTTGTAAAAACACTATCATTAAAAAACTTGAAACAGTTGAGGAATAGATTCTTATTTTTCGAATCTTTTTATACACAAAAACTTGAAATAGTTGAAAAGTAAATTTTAATACGCATTTATAAATAAATTTTCTATTAAATATTTATGATAATTAAAATAAATAGATTTTTTTAATATATTTAACATTCATTATTCTTTACCATGTTTTTTTTTCTGTGCCCCGTTAAACCCTTTGCCTACTTGCCGCCACCAGTACATCAGGCAAAGCTTCATAGCATAGTAGCGGTACTTGGAGTTCCGATTTCGGTCTCTACGGATCTATTTCTTTTCTAATCCGCTAGCGGCACCGTTGAAGAAGTCTCAATCTTCTGGTAACATTCCATTTTTTTTTTTAATTTTTCACTTCGATTTTGCTGCACACAATTGGTTATGCGTAGTTATCATTCTGATTATTGATTTCGCCCGTATAGAATCGTTTGGTGATTTTAGGTGCCCTAAGATATTATATGCTATGTTTTTTTAATTGAAAGGAATGTTTGAATTGTTCTTTTAACCTTTTCCTGCGCTAGCTTTTTGCTGAAATTCACTGTGAAGCTCTAGTATTAGGGGCTGTGCTGTGGATGGGCTTCTCCTTAAACACTACATTTAAAGAAAAAAATAAAATAAAATTAACTTTTCCATAAGTTAATTTTAGCTTATGCACAAGTTTGAAATAAAAATTTAGATAAAAATCTAGGAGAGCTAGATGTAAGAGTTTCTAAGAATCAGCTTATGCATAAGCTAATTGAACTTACGAAGAATTAATTTTAATTTTTAATACTAGAGAAGCTCATCCAAACAGGCCCTTAGCTTTACTTTGTCTGTGTCCCTGGCTCAATGCAAGGGTGTTTCAGAGCATCTTGCAGATGCTGAGATGAGCTTATTCTTCTTGTTCAGATATATCCTTCACTTACCATCACAGAAATTCTTTTTGGAGGAGGAACCACTAGACTAGGGAGGAGTTGTGGGGGTTGAGAAGGTTCCCCATGGCCTGCTTGCTGAGTTTGTTGCAATTATAACTTTGATTGGGGGTTATTTCACGGTTGCCATTTTGTTACTAGAAGGAGCAGAGAGGCAGCATTGTGAATACATTAAAAATAACTATTTCACCTCACATCCACGACCCAACCGGGCCCAATCACAGTTATATTATAGGTACTTCTTTCATCTCTCTTGTCATTTCTATGAATTAAATTGAAACACTAGAATCTAACTCAGTTTTTGCTTCTGCTTTTTAGTCTCCTTATTGGGGCAAGATGACTCGTTCTAAAGTCAACTCCAAGAAGCAACAGGGCATTGACTTTAAGGTTTCCCCTGTGGCCCTAGCAGCACAGCTCTATTATATTTATTTCTGCATTTATAACCCTCTGAGTTTTTTTGAAGCTTTTTAACATATGTCACTTGTTAAAAAATTTCAGAAAATAAGGCGAAAGGTTGGAAGGAAACTGCCACCACCTAAGAATACAACAAATACTGAAATTAAATCTAAAGGTACCCTTCTGCTCCAAAATAAAATAGGTCCGGTTGACATGTGTATTTACCTATGGGTGTACATGGTTTGGTTTTAGAAACGAACTCAATTCAAAGTAAAACTAGATGCATGGATTGGATTTTGAAACCATATCACTTTTTCTGTTCTTTACCAATCTAGATTGGTGTTTGGCCAAACTGGTTTATGGACAGAAATGGCTTTGGTTTAAAACTGGTTTTAAAACCAGTTTTTGAACGAAGGCTTATTCGAAAGCCACTTTTTTCAGAATTAGCTTTAAAATCAAAGTATGTAAAAAACTGGATTTAAAACTAACCGTTTGTTAAAGTAAAAAATTGGTTTACATTTTTTGAATGCGGTTTGCTTTTGTTTAGTTTAATACTTCCTTTGCACACCCTAGTACCCAACATACCATTTTTTGTGTTAGCAAAGCAAAGTGCTAGGACTTGGTGAAATTTGTTGTATCAACTCAATGTTTTTGTTTTTGTTGATGCAAATAACGATCTGAACTGCTTTCTTTTGCCCCACTTCATACTTTTCACAAAAAAAATAAAAAAAAAATTTAGATTATCCTGTCAAATTGAAACATATCTATATTTTTTGTCCATGCTTATGCAGTTAATACTCACAGTACAAATTCTTTCTTTACCTTCCTGCCTACCTTTCTTTCACACATACAACTTATGAAATGAAGTTTCTTTTTAATTTTATAACTTTTATTTATAAATTACTTTATGTCATGAAATAAGTTAACTAGCATATCTCCAACAGCAATTGTTCTGCCGGAACAGAGTGTAGCAGCAGAGAAGGCTGGTTTGGCTGTAAATAAGAAAGGTTTGACTTTAAAAGAACTTCTCCAGCAAACATCTCATCACAATCCAAAAGTTCGTAGAGGTATATTTTTGTTTTATTATATTGCCATTGTGCAATTGTCTTTAGGTGTGCATATCAGTGTCATTAGTTCTGTACAGAACAAAGTTTGTATGTTAGAAACCAATAAAACATTAAAAATGATTAATATTGGTTAGCTGATTTGAGCAAAAAATTTCAGCACAACAGAGATTAACTTATTAAGCTATTAACCTAGAAGCTAGTTTACACTTGTGCACTTGATACTAACACTTGGAGGGGTTATGAATGATGTATGAACTATTTAGACAATTCTACCTATTTTTTACAATTTTATTGTATTTAGTTTGAATATAATCAACAGAACATACTTCGATAATTCTAGCTATTTTTCACAATCCTAATGTATTTCGTTTTAAAATAATCAACAAAACATTTATGTGAATTGAAATAGCAATGGACCTTGGTTTGGAGCTGAAACACAAATCAAAACCTTTGTTCCGATTTTGTTATTAATGTTTTAGGAATGATGGCTCAAGTTAGTTTGAATTAAGCCCCGAAGCCAAAAAATTAAGTCCAACAACACTGCCAATATAAATAATTATTTTCCAATTCTGTCAAAAAAGAAAAAAAAAAAAAGCAGCCATTAATCGAATTATTTTGATCTTATGAAAGTTACTGTAATGGCATATCCTGATTGCTTTGTGTTGACTTAGTTTCTATTTCTAACATATTCTTATTCTTTTTGAATTGTAATATCCTAAATTAATGTCATTGCTTTATTTAATCCAAGTAACTTAAGCATTCAAATTTTAATACTCTCTTTTTCCAAACTCCAAACTACAGATGCATTGATTGGTATTAAGGATTTATTTACCAGACATCCAGATGAACAGAAGTTGCACAAGTACGCTGCTGTAGAAAAACTTCGTGAGCGCATTGGTGATGATGATAAAGTGGTTCGGAAGTCATTATATGATCTTTTTAAAGTAGTGATTTTACCTTGCTGTAAAGAGGTACTTAACAGTTTTGTTACTTGAATAACTTTTCTACGCATTGGATAATACATTCATGCCATTATCATTGGGATGATTTTTATCTTTTGTATCACTTATAAAAATGTAAATGATGGTGTTTTTTTCTCATGATTTATGCTTTGTTATGTTGCCTCTGGTTATTAATCTACAATATCATGCACGAAGATGTCTGGTTGTAATACTCTGTACACTCTGAAGCTGATTGCTATCCTCATTGTTTCTGAATTCTGATTATGAGGATTTAATTTGTTTGTCCTTCACACATCTATTACAGTAAAGATTGATCTTTTTAAAACTCCATTTGTCTTATTATGTTACTTGGTTCTCTCTATATTTTGTAGGACAATCAAGAGCTGATCGTTTCTTTATTGATGCCTTACATTTTTAATGCAATGACTCATTTGACGGTTGATGTTCGGATGATGGCATTTGATTTTTTAGACCTCATTCTTGAGTTTTATCCTCCTTCCTTTTCACCATCTTATGCAGAAAAGGTGATATTATCTTCCTTTCTTTATTATGCTATTTTCTTCTGCAAAATGTTGCCCAACAATAGGAAGAGAAAAATGAGCTAATGCTTCAATATATCTTTAGATTTGATAGAACTGTGTAGCGTTTATCCAGATATGACGATGGGTTGAAACTTGAGGGGAAATTTCTGTACATTAAATATGCACAATAATTTATTGTATTTCTATTTCTCATTGTTTTTCATGATTGTTTTCTGTGCCATCATTGTTTTATACATTTCCTACCCTATATTTTATTCTTCAATTGTTCCTGAAATTAGGTTCTATACATGATGCTTAGAATTCACTTTGTTGGTTGTGGTTAACAGATTTTTCAGAATTATGAGGATATGCTAAGGAGGAACCAGTACTATTTACAAGACAAAGGAAAACTAAAGGATGCTCTTTCTGGGTTGGTTGGCTGCTTGTCACTCCTGCCATGGAATAAAGGAGGAACTGATTTACACAATAAGGTGCTTTATTTTCATTTAGCTGTTAAAATTCGTATCACTTCTGACATGAATAAAAAATACAATTGTTAGATGCTCTGTTCAATCTTTATAATATAAGATTGGGTATTTCTATGCATAAACCACTTGGAATTTTTATTTTAAAAAGTTGTATCATTTTTCATTTCATTTCCACTCAGTAGGCTTGTGCTTAAATTATTTTGTGCATCTGGAACTTGTAACGTTCCCTCAGGATACATTTGGTACTTTATAATTTGCTAAAATAGTAATACATGTTACTATTTGGATAAATACATACACTATGAATGTAATGGGAGTTATAATTTATGATTTAAATTTTTGGCTTTTCAGATCTGGTAAGTGTCTGCTGTGTGAAACATCTTATTGTGATTAGTGCCAATTTCATTTATCTTGTATTCACCAATTTATATCTAATATTTTCTATTTTTAACAGGATGATGCAGGACAAAGAGTATTGCATGCCTTTCAAGTTGACATATCTATGAGCTCAAATAGTATGTTAACATAAAAATACAATTTGATTTTTTGAACAAATAACTACTTGACTGCTGTTGCATGAGTTTGCATAATTTTCAAATATCTAAAAGCTTTGTCAAGCTTTTTATGTTCTCAATAATTGTTTGACTGTCCCGTTTTATGCTTTATCTGTTTATGTAGGTTTTTCTTATATCATAAAGAATTTGAAGGATCTAGTGCCAGCGTTAATAACTAGTTTCCTGGAATTTATTCCATTGATTCATTCTACAGCAAGTCTTGAAGGGAAGTCGTTTGGTTGTATGACATCCATTCTTCATAGCATAGATCTCATAGTTAGGTCTATAGCTTATGGGACTGATAAGAAATCAGAATCGCCAAGTTCTCAAGGTGAACCTGATGTGGCTATATGGGATATTACCATCTCTTCTGCACTCTTGAAGAAATTATTTCCTCTTTTCCCCCTCAATCCGGTTGATCATCTTTCAGCAAGGGTATGTTTGTCTGCTTTTTATCCTTTAGGGGGGACAAGTGAGTAGAACTATTTGTAAAATTGGGGTCTAAAGAGAAGATGGAACTGCTCAAATTAGCTATTTCTCCCTTTAATAACCCAATCAACATAAATCTGATTTTTGTTTTCATCAAATATAATGGTTTACTAAGAGTTAAGAGAGTAAAGAGAGTGAAAAGAAGATTTCTAATTTTGTGGGATACATTACTCCACTCTATGATCTCATATATATATATAGGATTACAACATTTAAAACAACAACCACCAACTACTAACTACTAACAACCACCAACCACCAACTACTAACTACTAACCACTAACCACTAACTAATAATAATTCTAACACTCCCCCTCAAGCTGGAGCATACAAATTGTATGTACCAAGCTAGGAACAAATAAATTTAATTCGAGGTCCTCTTAAAGATTTTGTCAACACATCTGCAAGTTGATCATTGGACCCGACAAATTCAGTGCAAATTTCTTTAGACAACAATTTTTCACGAATAAAATGACAATCAAGTTCTATATGTTTGGTCCTTTCATGGAACACCGAATTAGAGGCAATGTGGAGAGCTGCTTGATTGTCACAATACATCTTCATCTGTTGGATCTCACAAAATTTCAGTTCTTGAAGGAATTGTTTCACCCACACTAGTTCACAAGTGAGAGATGCCATTGCTCTATATTTAGCTTCAGCACTAGACCGGGCCACTACATTTTGTTTCTTACTTTTCCAAGAAATAATATTGCCTCCAATGAGAACACAATATCCTGTAGTGGAGCGTCTGTCAGCCCAATCAGCATCACAATACCCAGATATTTGGGTACCCCCTTTATCTTCATACAACAGACCTTGTCCTGGAGCTTTTTTGAGATATTTTAGGATGTGAACGAAAACATTCCAATGATCAGTACGCGGATTTTGCATAAATTGACTCACAACTCCAACAGCAAAAGATAGGTCAGGTCTGGTAATGGTGAGATAAATGAGTTTCCCAACAAGTCTTCTATATCTCTCAGGATCAGAGAGCGGTTCACCTTGATCCGCCATTAATTTCTTATTTGGATCCATAGGGCTGTTTACTGGTCTACAATCAATCATGCCTGTTTCTTTCAGGATATCTAAAGCATGCTTTCTTTGGGAGACTACGATGCCTTCTTTTGATTGAGCCACTTCAATCCCTAGATAGTATTTGAGACAACCAAGATCCTTAGTTTGGAAGTGATTGCATAAATGTTTCTTTAGTAAAGAAATTTTATCAACATCATCCCCTGTAATGACTATATCATCTACATATACAGTTAAATAAATACATTTTCCTGAAGCAATATAATAAAAAACAGAATGATCTGCTTCACTTCGTTTTAATCCAAAACTTTGAACAATGTGACTAAACTTTCCAAACCAAGCACGTGGAGATTGTTTGAGACCATAGAGAGAACGATGTAACTTACAAACCAAACTAGACTCCCCCTGAGCAACAAAACCAGGAGGTTGCTCCATATAAATTTCCTCCTCAAGATCACCATGCAAGAACGCATTCTTAATATCTAACTGATGAAGAGGCCAATGACGGATAGCTGCCATAGCAAAGAAAAGTCGAAACAGTAGTCATTTTGACCACAGGAGAAAAAGTATCACTGTAGTCAAGGCCATAGATCTGAGTATAGCCTTTTGCTACTAATCTAGCTTTGAGTCGATCAACTTCACCTTTTGGTCCAACTTTAATGGCATAGACCCAACGACAACCAACAGTCTTCTTCCCATGTGGAAGAGGAATTAAGTTCCATGTACCATTGTGCTCAAGAGCCTGCATTTCATCAATCATGGCTTGTCGCCATCCAAGATGATCAAGTGCCTCTTTCACATTTTTTGGAATAGTAATAGTGGATACAGAAGAAATAAAAGAAAAATAGGAAGGAGACAATCTATGGTAACTAAGAAAATTGTAAATGGGATGTGGATTACGAGTAGAGCGAGTACCTTTGCGAATGACAATGGGCCAACTTGAGTCATCATTATCAGGAATTGTGATATCAGAGCCAAAGCCTAACATCTTTTCGGTTATTGTCATGGGCCAAAAGTTGCCCGGATGATTGAGAAGGATCTGCTGAGGAAGACTCATCTTGGGACATGGGATTGATCATTTGGCTCCTATGTTGATAGGTAATAAGAGGCAGTGATGAGGATTCCGGTGTATTTTGTGTGGAATTTTGGGTGTCAGGAGGAGGAGGTACAAATGGCTCTACTAAGGGTATAGGTAGGACATTTTGGGCCGAACTAATATCCTGCATAGAAGAAGGGAAGAAGGGAGTTGACTAAAAAAAAAGTGACATTAGCAGACATGTAGTACCTCTTGGTTTCAGGAGAATAACATCGATATCCTTTTTGAAGACGAGAATATCCCAAGAAGACACATTTGATGGCTCTAGCTGATAGTTTATCTAAACTTGGAGACATATCATGAACAAAACATACGCGACCAAATACACGAGGAGAAACATGAAAGAGTGAGTCTTTTGGCAATAGAATAGAGTGTGGAACTTTATTGTTAAGAGAAGAAGATGACATTCTGTTAATGAGAAAACATGCAATAAGAATAGCATCTCCCCAATGATGAACGGGCATATTTCCACCAAGTAATAAGGTACGAGCAGTTTCAACCAAATGTCTATTTTTTCGTTCTGCTATACCATTTTGTTGAGGTGTGTGAGGACAAGTAGACTGGTGTAAAATGCCTTGGGATCTTAAGAGAGTGGAGAAATCAGTAGAAAAGTATTCTTTGGCATTATCACTTCGTAAAACTATGATTACTTTTCCAAATTGATTTTTGATTTCGTGAAGGAAAGACTTAAAGATAGGTAATAATTCAGAACGATCTTTCATTAGATAAATCCAAGTACACCTCGAAAACTCATGAATGAAGGTAACAAAATATCTATATCCAAAGGATGAGACACGACTAGGACCCCAAATATCAGAATGAACAAAAGAAAAGACAGAATCACACCTAGATTCAGAACGTTTAGGAAAAGAGTACCTAGTATGTTTCCCTAGTTGACATGATTCACATTCAAAATCTTGAAGAGTTTGAAGTTCAGGAACCATTTTTTTTAATCTTGATAAGTGAGGGTGCCCTAACCGTTCGTGTAATAGTTTTGGAGACAAGGATGCAACACAAGATACAGATAATTTAGTCCCAAGGTAGTATAAGCCTCCAGATTCATGTCCTTCGCCAATCTGTCGACCCGTACCACGTTCCTGTATAACAAAAGAGTTGGCATTAAAGGTTACTGAACAATTCAATAATTTGGTTAATTGACTTAGGGAAATGAGACTAAAGGGATATGAAGGAACAAAAAGATCAGATTTCAAGTTTAAAGATGGAGAAATGGAGACTTGACCAGTTCCTTTAGAGGCTACATTAGATCCGTTGGCTAAGGTTATGAAATGAGGAGTTTTAGGAAATGAGAGAGAAGAGAACAAAGAGGCATTACCAGACATGTGATCAGAAGCACCTAGTCAATAATCCATGGATTTTGACTTTTCACATATTGTGAAATGTAAGCTATTGATGAATTTGGGGTTGTTGATGACTGTGCTAGATTACTAGATTTCAACCTCAAATATTCCTGATATTCTTCGTGAGAGAACTTGGGTTCAATCATTTCAGATTTGGAAAAATTGTCAGTTTTATCAGGAAAACCATGCAAAGAGTAGCAATTTTTCACTGTATGACCCATTCTCTTGCAATGAGTGCACTAAGGACGTCCTCTACCTCCACGTTCTCCTCTAGTACCGCGACTTCCTCTTCCACGGGTAGAAATCATAGTAGAAGATTCAACAAGTTCTTGATTACTTTTTCCTTTGAGAGTTGGAACACGAAGCAGTCTTGTAGTCAAACTTTCCATAGAAGGAACTTCTTGTCCAGTTAAAATTTGATCTCTAACATGATCAAATTCTGAATTCATAGCCCGGAGAGTCATAACCATATAGAATTTATCCAACTTTTGCTTTATCTCCTCTAACGAATCCACCTCTAGGAACATCTTTAATTCTTCAACTGCTGATTGAGCTTCAGCAATGAAGGTTATCCACTTGCTTGAGAGAGGCTAATCGATTAGCGGAATCATAGAGGCGTTGGATATCATTTGCAAAGATATTCTGAGCTTTTTTCCAGAAAGAGTTACATGTTTTGAAGGATCTGAGAGTGTTCAAAATTGTTGAAAGTCCCACATCGCCTACCTCATATCATTTGGTATGGTTTAAATACATGTTAGGCTACTCCACATATTGCCAATTGGTTTTATGTTGGAACCTTAACATGGTATCAGAGCCAAAGCCTAACATCTTTCCGGTTATTGTCATGGGCCAAAAGTTGCCCTTTAGTTGGGTCAAAAGTACCCTTTGCCTGGTCCGGCGGGCTTCGTTGGAGGGGGTGTGTTGAAAGTCCCACATCGCCTACCTCATATCATTTGGTATGGTTTAAATACATGTTAGGCTACTCCACATATTGCCAATTGGTTTTATGTTGGAACCTTAACAAAAATATTTGGTTCTACTGATTGCCACAGTAGAGCACAGAGTTGATAATCAAGCTTTTTCCATTGTTGAGCCTGATCTTCTGGTATCTTACTTTCGTCTTCTTCTAGATGATCGTGAAACCCTTGTCCAAGGAACCAAAGTTCCACTGAAGAGGACCAAGACATGTAATTTTTTCCATTTAATTTCTCAGTCGTTATCGTGGGAGTTCCGGAAAAGGAGGTTGTGGGCCCTGACGACATGTTTTAAATAATGTAGATGTAAAATGGAGACAATGGAACCTGTAAGAAAGAGAACACCCAAGATAGCCGGAAGGTTACTGGAAGGTGGTCGGAAAGTCGTCGGACGGCAGCAAAAAAAAGGTGACTGGACAGTTGCCAAAAAGTGGTTGGACGGTGGCCGGAAAGTGGCCGGTTGGTGATCGGAAAATGACTGGACGGTGACCGGAAAATGGTCGGACGGTGACCGGAAAATGGCCGAACGGTGACCGGAAAATGGTCGGATGGTGACTAGAAAATGGTCGGCCGGTGATCGGAAATGGTCGGACGGTGGCCGGACAGGCAGAGCAGGACCAACCTGCTCTAATACCAAGTTAAGAGTACCAAGTTGAGAGAGTAAAGAGAGTGAAAAGAAGATTTCGAATTTTGTGGGATACATTACTCCACTCTATAATCTCATATATATAGGATTACAACATTTAAAACAACAACCACCAACTACTAACAACCACCAACCACCAACTACTAACTACTAACCACTAACTAATAATAATTCTAACACTAAGTTAATGATATATTACTGGTTTAATTGTTTTCTGTAAAAAGGAATTTTTCTAAGATAAGACTAAGGACACAGAAGGAGGAGGTAGAGCTCTCAATTTTCTTTGCATACCTACTGGAGGTTTCCGTGAAAATAGTCATGTTCTTTTCCTAATTAGGTCCAAGAAAAGATTTTCATAATATATTATAGTTATCTTGTGTTTGGAGGATATCATGTATAATTTGAATTGTAAGATTGATGGAATGTGACTTTTGACAAGGCATGTCTAGTGTTCCAACTGGTCTACTTTAAAGAATGTGTATTTATATCTAAGAAAAAGCTTCTAATCAATATTTTGAGTAGTAATTGAAACATTAAATTTTGCAACCTTTCTTGAGTTGATATTGATTTGTATGTTTGTTTTGTTATCAAGCATCAAATTTGGCTTGTTAATTTCAAGTACATATTCCAAAATAAATTTAGTTTACCCCTATAAATTGTTCTGTGGTGGATTACCCTTTTTCTGTTGTGTTACGGTGATCTGGTTCCATTTGTGACATGGAGTGGGGAGCAGCATGATTGTGATATTCCTCTAAATTTCAAATAAACTAATTATTTCTTCTTATTGCATTGCAGGATTGTGATAGGTTGCTTGACTTGAACATGATCATTACCAAAATATTTTTTGAATTAAATGAATGGATGTGTCCTCCTCCTAATTTGTTGGAGACATTTCTTGAATTTCTTGAAAATGCGCTGCTTGGGAAGGTTGGATAGCTATGCTAACATAATCCTTTTTAAGTTTGATTATGTTGAAAATAGTGGTCATTCTATTACTCAAATTGACTGGAATTGTTATGATACAGTTCTGCAGCGCTACACAGTCTGGTAACGCTGCCTGGGAAGAGCATTTAGTTCAACTCCTTCCATTTATTCCTAAATTTGTTTCACGCGGGGCAAGCTATTGGACATCACGTCTTCTTCAGGTTTGATTTTCTGCATGACTTCTAGTTCATTTTTGTTAGAATGTTGTAGCCATTAATTTGGGTATTCTGAGTTTCCAATATTTGGCGGCTTTTGGCTTCTTTTATGTTTTCATGATCTGTTATGTTTTCGACAACAATTACAATAATGTCACTATTTCTAATTGTTCTCTTGCCTGATTCCAAATGTTGTGAAAGACATGGTGAAAGCAAAATTTTGTTGTTTTTGTCAACAACCTCATTTTATTACTTCTTTATTAAGAAGATTACAATTAAAGAGTGGAATTATTCTTGATTCATAGGGATCCAATTAATTAAGTATTGTTATTGTTCCTAAACTCAATCTTAATGTATTCTAACAATAAAATTATTTGATTCTATCCTAATATTTGAGATGGTATAAGAGTTCTCAAATTCTGGGAGTCACCTCTGACTGCGCAAACCAAAACCCTAGACAACAAATTTCATCATTGCCACTCATCCTAAAACCCTAGACGACAACCTTCATTACTATTGCACATCTCAAAACCCTAATTGACAACCTTCATTGTTGTGGTAATATAACATGTTATTCCTTGCACCTTGTTTTATTGCTGCCATGTTGGATTCAATTGATACAACAATTGAAATAGGGGATAATAAATCCCAAATTCATGGAGAACTTCAAAATCTCAACAAATTGGATAAGTCATCAGGTACTTGTTCTTTGGCATATTCAGGTAGGTGTGGAAAGTTTCCTTTTGTTTTTGGACTCAATGGCTCAGATAGACTCTATAACCAATGTTGGATACTAGATTTGGGTGCCACTACCACATGACACCCCTTCCCAAACACTTCTCCTCCTACGCCCCTTGTCCTAGCAATAAGAAAATATTCACAGCAGATAGCACCCCCATCACTGTAGCAGGATAAGGAGAAGTTCAAATAAATCCTTCCATAACCCTTAAAAATGTCCTTCATATTCCCAAACTATTCGTTAATCTGATTTCCATTAAAAAGCTCATAAAAGACCTATCATGTAATGTTGTGTTTTGTGATAATGTCTGTATGCTGTAGGACAAGCACTTGGGGAGGACGACTGGACATGCTAGATAATGGAATGACCTCTATTATTTGGACAACTCAAATCTGTCTGCACACTTACACAATAATAACAACACTTTTTCCGCTTTTGATTAGACCAATAGGGAAAAGGTCCTTCTACACCATTGTAGTCTTGGTCATCCTTCCTTTAGAGTCACAAAATTGTTATTTCCTTCCCGGTTTAATAAATTAGATGTGGAAACTTTTCATTGTGAAGTGTGTGAACTTGCTAAACACAAGCATGCACCTTTTCTAATAAGTAATAAAATGAGCACTTCTCCCTTCTATTTAATTCATACTGATGTGTGGGACCTTCAAACATCCCAAGTGTATTTGGTGCTCGTTGGTTCCTTACTTTCATTGATGGTTGTACTATGATTACATGGATTTTTCTACTAAAACAAAAATCCGAAGTCAACTCTGTTGTTAAATATTTTTTTCTCAATGGTAAAAAATCAGTTTGGAATTAGCATTAAGAGGATTAGATCCGATAATGCCAAAGATTACTTTAACAACAAAATCAATTCCTTTTGTCGTATGGAGGGTATCCTTCATGAGTCGTCTTGTGTCAAATCACCCCAATAAAATGGGATTGTTGAAAGGAAAAATGGGAACTTGATCAAACTTAGGCTCTTCTTTTTTAGCATAAGGTTCCTAAATCTTTTTCGGGAGAAGTTGTTCTCAAAGAGCATTTTATCTAATTAATAGATTACCTTCTAGTGTTCTAGTCTCAACAAGCCCTATGGAGGTTCTTTTCTCTTTCTATCCCAATGTGGCCACATCAAATAACCTTGTTCCAAGAATATTTAGATGTGTATCATTTGTCCATGTCCATTGTGTTGTTAGAGGAAAACTTGATCCTAGAGCCTTAAAATGTGTCTTTGTAGGATACTCATTCACACAAAAGGGTAATAAATGTTATTACCCACTATCTAAAAAAAATTTTGTATCTAGAGATGTCACTTTTCTTTAGCAACAAAGTTACTTTCACATATGTCATCTTTAAGGGTAGAGAATAAGAAAGATGAACCTCTGCTAATGCCTCTTGACTCCAATCTTTGACTAGAAGTAGGGGCTGAAAATGAAACAAAATTAGAGAAAGAGGTTAAACCCACTAAATCCACTCAAGATGAGGATGATGTAATATTTGGAAAAAATCTTGTTTATACAAGGAAAACAAAGGCCATTTTAGAATCTATCCATGTCCATGAATCCAATCCAGCATTACATGAGATAACTACTTTTCCTAATCATGTAAACTCTAGTGAATCTATATCTGATTTCTCAATTGCATAGGAACCTGAATCTAGTTCACCAACTTATGAGGATCTAGACATTCCAATTGCTCTTAGGAAAGATACTAGAAATGTACCACCAAGCCACGTTACTTTCTAACCAATTACGTATCTTTGAAACACTTCTCACCTACTCATAAAGCCTTCCTTACAAGCCTATACAATACCATAACTCCTAACTCCCTATCTGAGGCATTGACAGATAGAAACTAGAAATAGGCCATGGACCTGGAAATGGAGGCACTAGAAAAGAATAGTACTTGGGAATTGGTCATTGTACCAAGTGAAAAAAAAAAAAACCCAGTAATATGCGAATGGGTATATACTATAAAATACAAAGTTGATGGATCCATTGAAAGGTACAAGGCAAGGTTAGTAGCCAAGGGATTCACTCAAACTTATGGAGTGGATTACTTGAAAACATTTGCTCCAGTTGCAAAAATGAATACAATCATGGTGATATTATCCCTAGTAGCTAATTATTGTTGGAATTTGTAACAATTTGATGTAAAAAATGCCTTCCTCCATAGAGAACTTGAAAAAATGAAATTTACATGGAGTTGTCCCCTGGATACAAGAAGAAAACTACTGACAACATTGTTTGCAAGCTGAAAAAGGCATTGTATGGACTAAAACAATCACCATGAACATGGTTTGGAATGTTTACTAAAGTCATGAGAAGTTTGGGCTTTAAACAAAGCCAAAGAGATCACACCCTGTTTGTTAAACACACTAAGTAATGGGGAGTTACAATGTTACTGGTATATGTTGATGATATTATAGTGACAGATGATGACGAAGAGGAGCAACAATTGTGAAGCCAACATCTAGCCAAGGAATTTGAAATCAAGACCTTGGAAAAATTGAAGTATTTTTTGAGAATTAAAATTGCCCATTCAAAAATGGGAATTTTCATAACCCAACAGAAATATATTACTGATCTATTGAAAGAAATTGGTAAGCTAGCATATAAGCCTGCAAGTACACCAATTGATCCAAATTTGAAGCTGGGAAATGCAAAATAAGATACAATTGTTGACAAGGAAATGTACCAAAGATTAGTTGGCAGACTCATATTTGTCTCACACTAGGCCTGATGTTGCATTTGCAGAGAGTCTAGTCAACCAATTCATGCACCAACCAAAGGAGATGGAATCTTGTAACTTGGAAAAGTAAAAAACAGAATGTGCACTACTTCATTTTATTCACCAGCTTGAGGGGGAGTGTCAATAACCACATTTTATTACTTCTTTATTTAGAAGATTACAATTAAAGAGTGGAAATATCCCTGATTCATATCCCTCATTCATAGGGATCCAATTATTTAAGTGATATTGTATTTCCAAATTTACTTGTATATATGACTGGTGTATTCTAGCAATAAAATTATTCGATTCTACCCTAATATTTGAGAGTTTTCATCATTTCCTTGTGAATTCTTGAAAACAATAAACAACGTGCGTGACCTTTTTGTTGTTATTATGAGTGAAAATATGTCAACTACTGAAACTACCAAATAGACTGAACACTGTGTTAATATTTTGGTTTTATGTCTTCTTGTACCATCTATAAAGGTTTTGACGTTGCTATTAACATGGAATGTGACACTTGCAGGCTTTTACCCAGACATTCAGGGAGAGCAAACCAGGTTCCTTGCTGAAGTTGGCTTGTGTTTCTGCTATTGAAGATATGCTAACTTATGTAAGTCTGGATTCATCTCATTCTGAGAGCATCCTTGAAATGATATTCTTGATTCTTGGATAACCTTATGAAAGCAATGTATTTCCTTCTAGATTAACGTGTGCTGTTTTTCTTTTTTTCTGTTCTTAGATTGAAAGCAAGCTTTCCATAGGGACAAACAATCCAGAATATTTAGATCTTCAAGATGCTTTACTTGCATGGATTGAAGATCTCCCTCTGTTGCTTATACAGCTTGGAGATAGACACCCAACCTGCTCCCAGGTAGTTATTATCTTGATTTGATAAGCAGTTCTTTATTTGAAATCTTGGTTTGACAGAATTTTGAGAGATTAATGTGCCTTGGCATTGATCTTAAGTCTGCAATTTAGTATCTCCTTTTAACTAAAACATCATCGCAGGTTGTGTTACGTCTTCAACTTCGTATTGGACAAAGTGCTTTGTTGAATTCATCACTTGTTTGCATGTATGACAACATGCAGCAGTCATTGCAAGATTTTTATGGTACATGTCAAGACGGAGGTAAACATGACCATGCCGTTGACATCAATATTACTAGTAATACAGCATCTTTGAGTTATTTTTTGGCTTCTAACTGTTTTGCTTCTTCATCTTGCAGGACAGATGTGTTATGGTCCTTTTATCAGGCTTCCTAGAGAATCTCAAGAGCTCTCTTTATGTTCCCTTTACTATTTCTCTCATTTGGACCTGCCTATTTTAAAGTCAATAGCCTGTTGTTGCCTAAGTATGCTTCAGGCTTGTTTAAAATTTCACTAACATGATATTTTTTTTTATTAATTTTTAGTAATCATACCTGTTCACTTAACATTTTACCTATTATCATTTGCATAACTAATGTCGAATAATTTTAATTTAGCATGATACATGATGGCAGGTTATTGAAAGGTTTATTTATCATTTAAATTTGTTTGAGGAGAATAATTTTGCAACTTTGTTCTCCCTTTATTTCCAATAACTTTTGTTTTAATAAATGTGATATAATATAGAAGTCCTACTGCATTGATTATTTTTTGGAAACACCTTTAGTCTATGCCTCAAAGATTCAAGTAATATTTATTTAATAAAATTTATTGTAAAAACATTTATTTATTATTTCATAAAAAAAAATGAAGATATTTATGTTTGTTAGAATCTTGTAATGTTGATTTGAAAGTTGGGACTTTTCCCCACATTATAAATGTTGCAGTGATAATTCTAATGCTTAGAACATTGTCCCTAAATTATCTCGATGAATCCAAAAAAAAAATTCTTTGTGATGTTATTGAGATATAACTGTTTTTGAGAACTTAAAAGCAATGGAGGATATTTTTTATACAGCAATTTTCCCTCACTTCCTGTACCAGCGTTTCTAATGTTCTATGTCACCATTTCCTTTTAAGTAGAAATAGAATTTAGATACTTATGATATGAATGCTGTAAAAGTTTCTGGGTTCAAGCTTCTGAGTATTATTTTTGTTTTGTACTATTGCAGGTGCTGATTTAGACTCCTACGTCTTATTTAGGATCATAGAGATTCTTCATTCAGCCTATAGAGATGGACATATAAAAGTTGCAGATTACTTGAGTGTTTTCATCACCTTGGTCTTGCGATTCAAAGTTTCTCCTGGTAGCTTACATAGGTTTATTAGTACTAGTTGTATAACTTTTGATAAGATCCATTTCTTGTTTCACTTTTCCAATTCAGTGTTTTTGTCCATTATGCTCAGTAGTCATGATCAGAAAGTACTGGCAGGGGTTGAAATTGACAATGCTCATTCCATGTGATGACCCACAAATTTAATAGGAAAACTGAATAATATTAATACTGAAACATGACTAATCAGAGGGAAATCTTGTTACAAAATAGAATTAAGGAAAACTAGACCATAGCTGGCACAAAGGTCCTTACTAAATGAAAACTGATATAAGAATAGTCCCTTAAGTATTCATTCCATCACTCAGCCTAGCCAGATATTTTTCACTCAAAATGGGATTGATTCAGTTGAACAATGGGTTTGAGTCAATGATTGAATTTGAAAAACTGCCTTTTCTTATCTTGATTTGTGTAGAAATTGATAAATTGAAAAACTAGGATTCTAGTTAAATCATGAAGACCTGAATTTACACTAATCTCATAAATTTGTTTATCTTAGATACAGCCACCCATGATTAGATCCTAATCCCTCTCATTGTGCTACCCTCCCTCAAATAATCATTCTCTCTCTCCCCCTAGCATGATTCGCATCTTGTTCTCCCACTCCTTCTGCCAGCTATCCATTCTATTATACTGTTGTTCTCTGGTCTTCCTCTCCCACCAATTCTGTCCCATTCTTATTGCTATTCTACTTGTTAACTCTTCAAATGCAAGCCCGATTTTCAAATGCTATTTGTACTCATCCAAATTGCATTTGTGCTAAGTATATCTTGCATCTTGGTAACTCGTAAATAACAATATTTATATAGCATTCTTTCCAACTGAAGAAAATGTCATTGCTATGTACGGATAACTTGTTAGCAATAGGAAGTTTCCAGACCAAGAAAAAGTTGCTTTAGAATCTTTGATGATTGAAATAGCTATATTTGTGAATCTTTCGAAACCTAATTTTGGTAGTCTTTCAGGCATCGGAGATTCAGAAATTCTATTCTTTTTAATTTTGCAGAAATTGGTTCCTCTGGTTTTAAGAGTGGCCCACTTCGCCAAACTTTAAAGTCAATGACAACTGTTCTTTGCTCATACATTGCGCAGATGGGTGACAATTATCTTGTTCTACAGATGATAGAGAAAGTGATAATTGATCAGCTAGTAAGTTGACACATATTTTGTTGAGTTTTCTTTTCCGTTGGGATTTTTTCTGTTTACTTTTTGGGTTCTTTCTTCTCATTCTGATATTGTAATACAGCCGCAAAAGCCTTCTTTGGATAATAGTTGTTCTCTCCTGAGAATGCTTGTTACAGTAGATTCGAAGCCCACAAGACTTTCTGAACAAAGCATTACCACTCTAGGCCATCATCTTTCAGAATATCTGATGGATGCTGTGCAGGTAAGCATGCTTCCAAAATTGACTAGCCATCAATATAAAATTTATTACTTTATTCTTTTGGATATCCCAGATCAAGCTTTACATTAAAATTTATTGTTTTTTCTGTGTCCTTAATTTTGGTTTAAAAATCAAAATGTCTAGAATGTTTTTAAAGTGTTATGCTTGATTGCTATAATTTCTTAATATGTAAACTAAAAATGACAACTTTGAAAAACGAAATGCAGAATGTAGCAAAATATCTACAAGCCATTATTAAAGACAATGGTGGGGATAGCTTCTAAGTTCTCACTACGTCTTGGATGATTGATTATTCTTTCCTTTCCTTTGTTGATAATTGTTTTTGGAGTTATCTAACAACAGATATCAACATCACAATTTTAACAAATGTGAAAATTCATGGAGAAAAATGACAACTTAAATCTTCTATGGGTGCTTACAAACCATCCTACTGGGGTAACAGTTGATGCTTGTTTATCTTGCATTTATTTAACTTTACAAAATCTTCTGCTAGATCTCTGTTATGTTCTCTGATCTGACTATAAATGCTTGTAATCGGGCATATTTTCTTTTCTAAAGCAATCGGTTTTTGTTTTTGTTGACGACATGTCTTGATTTGTTTATTATATATATGTATGTATTTTTTTTTTCTATTTAATGTTTGCTAGACTCCTAGTATGTTTTCTGTTACTAGTAAGGGCTTCTAATAAGTTATGAGTTTTATCTTTTATTTTATTTTCTATAGCAATGGATATTAATTTCTCTGATATGAATTCATTTTATCACTTTCATTTATTATAAATTTTGCTGTATCACAGTGCATTCCAGAAGATGATGAACAGGGAACTCCTTCCATTCTATCAAGTACCCAGCATTATTATCTTCTACCTTGTTTTTTCTTGTTTGACCGGTGCCATAAAGTTATGAATCTTGTGTTAAAGAAAATGGGATCAGCTATATCTGAAAGTAGTTTGTTACCGATATCTGACAAATGTACTCAACATACAAGAAACTGCTTGAATAGGGTTAATGCTGTTACTTCTGTACTTTTGGTGATGCACAAGGATGCTAAATTACAACAGATTATGTCTTCATTCAAGGAAGATATTGATAACGCCATACACCAAGTTCTTTCTTTACAGGTAGGTTCAACCCTGATGAAAAGATCAACTATTGATTTTTATTTGCAGCTTGCTGTTCATGAATACTACGTATCTTTCCATTGGATAAAACAAATTTGTGAGTTTAATAAAGGTTTTCAGTATTTTGTGATTGTCTATACTCCGGTGTGTAGGTAGTTACATTCTCTACGGTGAGGATAGTTACATTATGTACCAAACACATGCTCATTTAGCATTAATCTATGATATGACATCACACTTTTTTTCGGTTGCATATAGTTGAAGTAGAGTGTTTATTGTATGCCATGCCACACCACATAATAACTACCTCCATGTAGCTTCTAGGAAGATATGAAATGACATGAAAAGATATTCATGTATTGACGACTTAGTGAGAAATTAGCCGTTTTAAGACATTATTTGAAAATGTTTGGTTATGGATTTGAATCATAACCATGTGTACTATTTTGCTTGAGTACTTGGATAAAATGTGGTAGGAAGTCTTACGTGTATTTATTTTAATTGGAATCATGAAGTCTTTTAGGTGTTTATGTTCAAGTTACATCGGGCCTTCATTAAAATTTTTGTGGGTTCAAATGAGTTAGGCCATTTGGTGTAATAACTTTAATTTGTAGGGTTTCTTAGTTCGATGAATACCTAGTCAAGCTTATAGATTTGATTGGGTTGAAATCTGGTAATGGAACATTACTATGTATTTTCACTTTTTGTTTGCCTTATTGTTTTTTTATCTATGGGATGACTCTATTTTTGTTGATGTTATTGTTCTGTTAACATATTTAGTTCCCAAAAACTTATAATGGCCGTTCTTTGATTATTTTCTGTCTTTTTGTGTAGTCATCTGGGTGGATCAGTATGGCAATTGAAGAAAGGCATGAAATAAAATGTGCTCTTGAACGACTGAAAATCTTAACGAGATAACAACTGTCAAGAATAATGTGTTGAAGTGAGAAACTGCTACACTTATCTTTTTCATGCCTGGATCAGTGTTATTTCTTTAGCAATTTTTTCCTGTCACCATTCATAATCATGTTTGTCACTTTCATTTTACTATGTATCGATGTTGGAGTTTTTATATCATTTTTTAGTGTGTTTATACTATCATACATCTTCAGGAGTTTCATAATATTCAGTAGGGAAAAAAATGCAAATTTGTATCTTGAAGTTTTGATTATGTGTGATAGATGCTGTAAGTTCTTTTATATGATCCAATTACATTTTGAATATATATATATATATATATATATATATATAGTATTGATGTTCCATTGGAATTCGTCTTGAATTGGTCCCGGTCTTGATAAATGTCATTTTATTCTCTAATGTTCTCAAAATGTGTCAAATAACTCATCCGCACATAATCCATAGCTAATAGGCTTGGAAATGACTATGGAAAGGTTATTTTGCACATTTAAAAATATTAGGAATCTAAATATACTTTTGGCAAATATCAAGGATTAAATTACTTGCTTCACGATAGTAATTTGCATTTCCTCCTTATTTGTACTAGTGATTTGTGTTCATTTGTCTGGAGTGACGAGTGTCATCGGGACATATCTTCTAATGTTTCTTGCTTGTGTGTATGACCAGTTTGAATTAAGCGGGTCAGCATAACGATGACTTGCGGTATTGAATTACTAACCAATGTTCTCGTCTTCCTTCTATCTTTTTTTTGCCTTTTTCTTTGATCATATCATGTTTAACTTTATTTGCATAACTTTGTTCTGCTTAATCTTGCTAATAATATTAACTCTTTTTACCCATGGTCACCAAACAACTTGAATAAAAATGTCACGTGTTGCTTAATTTATCCATGCATATTTTCATTATGATCTGTAATGAAAGTAGCAATTGAGTATGTCTGATATGCTTGAGTCCATGACAGTTGGCATAGAAGGTACTTCTTTAGTGTCAAATTGACAGGCAGAAGCACATGGACTGAGCTATATTGTAGGCAAAATGTTATAAATCATACTCCATGAGTAAGAGTTATTTATCACCCTCACTCCTTATTTTATTTTAATATGATGTCCAAGAGTTATTCTTTAGCAGCACCATTGTATTAAAAGAAAATAAAGGGTGAAGAACACTATTGAAATTACTTTTTTGAGTAATTTAATCCCTTCTCATTATATATATATATATATATATAGAGAGAGAGAGAGAGAGAGAGAGAGAGGTGTCATCTTTGTTTTTTAGATTGCTTCTCAGTTGTAATATTTCTCTCTAATTTGTAGTGATCTCTGATTCAAAACTGGTGAAGGAGAATGCAACAAACTTTGATAGGGGGAGTCGGCATCAGTTTTATGAATTTCAGAGATCAGACTTCGCATCATCTGCCAACCTTTTCCCAAGTTTAATTTGCAAGCAATTTTGAGGTCTGCTTGCAGCCACTTTGTTTCACGGTGGAGAAACATAATTTTTTGTGTTTTGCTTCCAATTTTGTCAATTTGTTCCTATATTATACCACAATATTGTTAAGTCTAAAGACATCATATAGCCCGAAGCTTTTGATTATAAACATTATAAATTAGATTAAATTATTTAAAGTAATAATTTAACAAAGTCAGATGACGCTTTCACCTAACAAATTTCAGCCTGGACTCTTTCAACCAGATAAATTATCTGATTATTATTGAAAGACTTTCAAACAGTACCGTTCCTTGAAAGTCGTCCCTATCTATCTTGAGTTTTATGTTTATAGGATTGGCCTCTCCTAAAGAAAGAATTTGAATTCACAAATGTGATAGCAACTTTGTGATTTGAATTTAAGGTTTATCTACGTTACCTAGGTGGGAAGGGTCTACACGAGATTCCAAAGCATTTGGAGGTTATTTAAGTCATAAAAATATATTTGAAATTCCAGTTGGCAATATCTCTTGGAAATCATATTTTTAGTTTTTTATTTTTTTGGATCAAGTCTAAGATTTTTTAAACCAGTGCTAGTAATTATTTCTTGTGAAGTGAGATATATCAATAGCCCAAGACTTTAAGCACCATATTCAAGGATTAGATGTCATTTCCATGAGTGGATTAGACACATCTTTAAAAATTAGGAAAGTTATTTAATCTCTATCATCAATTGCATAAAAAATGTAAATGAAAGGTTGTTCGAGATATTGAAAAAAGGCGGAACTTAACAGGAGCTTTCATTTGTTTATGTAAAAGACTAACAATTATTAACAACATTTATTGTGTTATACAATTTCTAAGCGATGAGCAATTAACCGATTTATTTTCAGGGTTGGAAACATTAAATTCTTATTTGTTGATCAACTAATAAAGGATAAGAGTTCTAAACATGTAAAAAATTATTTTAGTCACCCAAGAGTGAACACGATTTTGAGGTTTTTTAACAATGGTTGAAAAATAGAATAACATTTCTGTATTTGCTGTAACAGCTATTTCAGGTATGCAATATTTGATTTAGAGTATATCAAACATCTTTTATTTATACTAGCAGAAACACTTTCTGTCTGCATTTCTATTATGTTTTTTTTCTTTTTAATTTTAATTTATAAAATTATTATATATTAATTTTAAAATATAAATATTTGTTTTTAAAATTATGAATTGACAAATAAACTTGAGGAGTTTCAAGAAAAGAGAGAAACTTGAGAAAATGTGTAATTGAGGAAGTAAGAAAAAAATGATATTTATTTATTATTTTAATATTTGAAAAAAAAAATAGGGATTATAGAAGGGAATAAAGGAAAGAAATAATATATATATATATATTATATTTATTTGTTCATGAGACTAAAAACGATTAGAAAATAAATCATTTTCATATATTGTTAAAATATATTAAAAATCGATTGTTATCAAATTTATATAAATAAATAGTTTCAATTCAATTTCTGCGATATCTCTTTCTTAACAATAATTATTTTTTTTAGTTATCAATATAATTTTTTAGAATATTTGTGACCGTAGAGATACTTTTATTTTTAATTTATTTTTTATATATTATAATTTACTTAAAGAAAATATTACTTAAAATATTCACATTTTAGTAACTCCTATATAAAAAATATTTAGATTAAAAATAAAAAAATACAACTCAATCTTATAAAATCAGTTTAATAAGATAAGAATTAAATTCATTTATATATTATGTTAGTTTTTATTACACTCTTATCTTATAGAGAATTTTTCATCATACCTGTTCTTTTAAAAAAGAAAAAAATCATCACGTTTTCCTCATTTCAAAGAAATTTTTTCATATCTCAATATTGTAGAATTGACTCTATACTTTATTAAAGTTAAGAGGTATCTAACTCAACTTTACAAAATTGATTAATTAAAATAAAAATTATACTTATTTATATATTATAATATTTTTTTTTAATTAAGATAAAAATTATATTTATTTATATACTATAATATTATTATATATTTAATCACAGATTTTATTTGAAAATAATTTTTTTATCCAGGAGATTTTTCATCAATTTACATGAAATGTAATAGTAGATTAGAGTAATAAATTAATTATTTGACTTGAATGTGATATTTATAATGTACAAGTTAATAAGTGGTGTAACATAAAATTTGGAGATGAAACATGTATTATTCGAAGCATTATCGAATCAAAGAAAGTTTAGAAAGGAACCACGGAATGTGACAACTTTTATGTAATCCACTAGTTTTAAAGTAAAAAAATCTGGATAAAACTTTGAATAACAGAATATAAAGTTATTAGTGACGTCTTCCATCAATATGAATTTGATTGGATGACGTCAAAGTCAAAGTCATTATTATAGTTGATAATGAAAATGCCTCAAATAAATATGCCAATATAAGTAATTATAATATTACTTTTATTTAAAACTATTTTAAATATTATTTATGTAATTAGTTACTTTTTTATTTTATTTCAAGTCATAAGTTAAACAAATTTGATTCATGTTGACTTCAACCTAAGATTTATTGGATCCTGGTCATGAATCTAAAACATCTATTGACGTTGATAATGTAACGAGCAAATAAAAAAAATGAGGTGAAATTCATAAATTTACAAGATGATAAAGATTTAGAAAAACAAAACTCTATTGAAAAAATAAAATAAAAAATCTTCAATGATTCCTTTATAAGACTAAATCTTATAAGGTTGATGGAAATGATATATGGAAATGATATTAAAGAAGGGATAGATGAGGTGAATTTGATACCAAATCTTAATCAATATAAAAATCAATTCTTGATAAAAAAAATTGTATTTATTATTTCTATTTTTGTTTTACAACTTCGGGGATGCATTCGTTGTGCACAAAAGTTGCATACATGAGGAGGTGGAGATCTAACTCTTTGGAGTCAAATAATGTCTTCGTTTAAAATGAAGTTGCGTGTAGACAATATCTTCGTTTAAGTATGCTTTGATTCTTAAATTTTCTTCAGAGTTCAACAAGAGACGATGCATGATATGTAATAAGATAAGAGATTTTTTTCTCACATTTTCTTCTAATCTCCTTGTTCCTAAGAATGTAAATAGGGGACATCTATCCACCATAGTAGATATACGGATTCTGAATTCAATTATTGTTTTTAAGTTGCACATATAAATTTTACTAATCAACCATGCTATATAAAACAAAGCTAGTTTATGAGATATATGTTCCAGTACGAGAAGAGAACTACTAGGTATGCATGTAAATGTAATCATGGGTAGAAATATAAGTGTAGGAGTCACTTTAATTATCTGTCAAACTTTATTTTTGTGAAATTATAATAATAAAATAGAAAATGTATTGCAGTCAGAATCTTTTTGGGGTAATTGTTACATGGTTGATCTTAGGAGCACTGAGAAATAAAACTGACTTTGCTGATGGTTGGGAGGTTAATCTTGACAAATACTCTTTAAGAGAAATAATTGTATACAGAATCGACAGATTGAAACTTTAATTTTCATGTAACGCAACTATTGTCATATCAAAGAAGGATTGTTCTTCGGAATTAACATGAGGGGATAGCAACATGGATTAGGACACATTCATACTGAAACTTTATTACAAGACAATGTGAGAAACATGAAGATGAGATAATTATCATGCCAAAGCGATTGTTGCAGTAACTTGATAAACAGTAAATTGTGCCAGATTCAACAAGGAACAAATACGAATTGGTAAGACTATCTGGTGACGTGAGCAATGAAAGAATTCACTTCCATGGGAGTAACTCCATCTTCATCCATGGACCTATGGAGGGCATTTTTAAGCTTCACTGCTCTCTCCCGCATCTCTTCACCTACCTTCGTTCCCATCAACCTTCTCACACCATTCTCAACAACCGAAGCACTAACAATCCCATTCGTTTGGGCCCAATCCTTCACAACCAAACCAACCTTGAGCACCTGTGTCATCAAAGCTGTGTTTCTTGGCTGGTCAGAGTGCATAGGCCATGCTGCTATTGGGACCCCCATGGTTAAGCTCTCTAAACAAGAGTTCCATCCACAGTGACTCATAAACCCTCCTGTTGAAGAGTGGCTCAGAATTTCCAATTGAGGTGCCCAGTCCCTCACAACTAGCCCCGTGCCTTCAACTCTCTCCTCAAACCCCGTTGGAAGCTCATGCCTTTTTGCCTCCTTACCATCAAAGATGTCTGCTTTATCAGCATCTCTCAGCACCCAAATGAACTTGTGCTTGCTTTGTTCCAACCCACTGGCAATCTCTTGAATTTGCTCCTCTGTCCAAGATGTCGTGGTCCCAAAAGACACATAGATCACCGAATTTGCCTCTTGCTTATCAAGCCACTCCACGCATGAGTGCCTAATTCCTTTTGAATCTTTCTTCTCAATGGCTAAAGGGTTGAATGGGCCGAGAGCCCAAATCTTCTTGCCACCACCGACACCCTGCAGAAACTCAATGTAAGGGCCTTCAATGGCCCTACTTGTGTTGTAGATGTCGCCATGATTGAGTTTAGAGAACTGACTTTGAGCATTCATGAAGTCCACGAATCGACTCGGGAAGCATCCTTCCAGAGAAGGAAGCAGCTCTGGAACACGCAAGCCTTCGGGCTTTCCCCTTTTCTCCCAACTGGAAACGGAGGCGTAAAAGGCACACGTGGGTTGAAAAGCGTAGTTCTCAACATTTGGCATTTGTGTGGCATCTTGTGCAACATAGGCCATGAGGGCGTCATGGATAACTACGAGCCTTTTGGCTTGAGATGAGAGGGATTGAAGAAGTTCCCGAATAGGCTCTCTAAGATGGGAAGAGACCTCAAAGGTGGGGAGTAGATGAGTTGGAAAACCATTGGATTCTGCATTGCTGTTGGGGTCGGGAGGAGGGGAAACAAAGGGAGGGACTTCAAAGTGGTGGAAATGAATGTTTGAGTTTGAAGTGGAGTTGTGGCAACGAAGTGTGGCTTGGCGGATGTGGCTGAGTGTGCTAACATAATGAACTGGTAAGTTGTGTGAAACAATTAGGCGTGAGAGGTTGAGAAGCTGGTTGAGATGGCTCTGAGCTGGGAAGGGTATCAGAACAAACACCACCTCTTTTTGGGCATGTTCACGGCCATTGTTGTTATGCCTTTCTCCATTGGAAGCCATGGATGTAGAGTAAAGCTATTAGTTTGCCTGATGGTTCCTAACATGGCATATTTATATTAGGTTGCCTACTAAAAAAATCCTGCCTTAAATAATATATATTTAGTGACTAAAACAATAATAAAATAGTTAAGTTTATAAACTAAGATTATTAATTAATTAAACTTTTTAAAATGTGATATGTATTATTTATTTTGGTACATGGAAGAAATAGAAAAAGGTAGGGTATGAAATCTGACGAATGGTCCCACATGTCAGAATGTTCAATCTCCATGTGCAACTTTAATCACACTCCATCAGTACCCAGACAAAAAATTTATATGATAAATTTAACCTAACTCAATCCAATTTAACGTACAAATTTAGTTTCAAAACCTTTCTAATGTATTCCATCATCTTCCTTATGTTTTATTTGTTCAAATCTCACAGAAAAACAAATAATTTTGTGGAAAGATTTCACTCTTAATATCAGGTTTTTTTCAATTTTATCTTTTTTTTATGAGTCAATATATTAGATTTTCTAATAAATAAAGTACAACAGACATAACATGGATGTTCACATAATTAGAAGTGATTTTTATATTAATTCGTCTAGTATATTTATAACAAATATTTGTTAATATAAATATCATATACATGTCATTACAACTGAGTAAACATAGTTATATTAATTTTACATTGTATTGTTTTATTAAACAATTTAATAATATATTAAAAATATTATAATAAAAAACAAAATAACAATATAAAATAAATTATTAAATCTTCTTTGTATACAAAATTAGACATATTGTTTTATTTGTTTAATAATTCTGGAATTTAATTTCTCCTGCACATGTGATTCTTATTTTTTCTTCCTATAAGTTTTAAATATTTTAGATTTTATCTAATTTTAAAATATTCATTTGATGAAAAAATATACTTTAACATCAAGTCATTTCAATTTTGAAAAGTGTGGGCACACCTGAATTGAAGGGGTGCACTGCAAAAGTCAAATACTTTCTTTTCACAGAATTCAAAAATCTCGTTGTTAAAAAAAGAAAAAACATATTTAACTTATATTTTTTAAAACATTTAAAATTAATTGAAAAAAATAAATATTATTATTATTTATTTTAATAATTTTTAGAATTATTAAAAGAAAAGTGTAAAATAAAAACAATTAACTTAGAAAAATTAACAGGAAAAAGAAAAAGAGTATACAGATATCTTATTCATACTTAATCTTATTTTTCACACTCTCTCTATATAAATATATATTTCGAAATTATTTCTCTATTATTTTTCAAAACAAATATACAGATAACTTTTTAATGGCTTAATTATTTAATTTTATTTATTTATAAGTTTCGAAAATAACAATTATATATACATATATAACTTTCTTTTCAAATAATAAATATTTTTTCTTCTTTTTGATTTTTTTTCTGTTCTTCAACTCAATATTTAGCTGGCGCATCTTCGGCGGCGGCACAACTTATATCGGTGGCAATAACCAACTTGTTGACCATTAAATAAATATGAAAAACGTTAATAAATGTTCTTTTTACTCTCTTACGAGACATTGAACTTGCGTCGCATTGAAACTAACAAAAGTAATAAATTAAAATACAACAATATATTCACACTAAAACATACATATGCTTGTTTAATTGTACTACCAAAGTATATTTTACAATATTAATACAAATTATATATTATTTTCATTCAAACCCTTCAAAATTTATTATATAATTTTTTAAATTCAATATATCAAATAAAATTTTTTAAATAATTCAAATATTTTTATGATAAAAATTTATTTATTTAAATAAATATTATTATTATTAAAATAAATATATAATTATTAAAAGAAAAGAAAAAAAATCTTATTTCTTCATAATGAGATAAGTATGAAAAAGAAAAACTTATTCTTGTATTAAATATTAAAAAAAATTAATTTTTATGGATATATAGAATTGGAGATGATAATTACATTAGTATTTGCAATGACTGATTCATTTAAGTCTCAATTTGATGAAAAAAAATCTAGGGATGGCAAAATGGGTCAGTCAGCCTCGCCTTTGGCGCCAAAAGCGGTGCGGGCGTGGCTCGATATAATCATGACGGTCGTAGACCTTGCCCCACCTGCCAAGAGGCAGGTTGCTAAGTTAGTGGTGGCCCACCATAATTTAGAAAAAATATTTTTTTAATACTTTTTTTAATAAATTTAATAATAAGATTATTATTTGTTTGTTAATAATTCAATATATATATATATATATATTATTTCAATTTAATAATATAAATCAATACATTATTTTAAGAAATTATAATTTAGAACAATAATAAATTTTACATAATAATAAATAATAACAAATATATATATATATATATAAATAACTTTAAACTTATAAAATTTATTATTTTTATATTGAAAAATTCAAATACCTATATATTTTTTATTTGATAAAACTTCATATTATTCTTGGTTGAGTAATTCTTATACCTTTAATTCAAGTAATAAGGATAAATAAGGAGAACAAGAGAGAAGGTTATATTTGAGGAAGGAGAATATTTTCACGTGAGAATGAAACTTTTTTAATTTTCTTTTTAAAATTTTTAATTTTATATATTATCTTTATAATTAATTTTATTACAATAAAAATTTATTTTTTTATTAATTAGGCGGCCGCAGTCGGCCCGCTCCGTCCACGCAGTTGGCCCGACGGGTTGACGAGCTTGGCGGGCGAGCCAAAGCGGCTGGTAGGTGAAAACACCAACCCGCCCCACCATATTATGGCGGTCGGCAGAGCCGACCCGTCGGGCCTAGCCCGTTTTGCCATCCCTAAAAAAATCTAGTTTATTTGACGTGAATGTGGATATGCATTTGAGTTTTTTTCACTTTAAAAAATGAGAGTGGTTAATGCACTTCACACCCTAATTTTGTCTTCACTTTATATTTAAAATCAAATTTTAATTTTAAATTATTAATTTTTTAAAAGTATTTTTCTTCAGTATATATCAGATAATATTTTTTTTATATTTCACACTTTTTTATTTTTCACCAACCCACTTTTTATTATTTTGTCTTTTCTCGTATCTTCGATCAATTAATTCATTATATTATTTTTTTCTCTCATCTTTTACTCTTTCACTTTTTTTAATCTCTTAAATTATTTTGATTTTTCCAAATTCTCCAACCAAATTGACAAACACAAAATTATTTTTTTTATCTTTCTCTAAATATTGTATATTAATCTTAAAAGTACCTAATATTATTTTATTTATAGTAGTTTATCTTTATGAGGTTCTATTATGTCATTTTTTATTTTTTATTCTTATTTATCATATATCAAATTTAATAAAATAATTATATTTTGAAAAACTTAAGAAATATAATTAAAATATTTAAATACAGTGTTATAATAATAATAATAATAATAATAATAACCACAACAAAAACAATAATAATAATAAATATATTACATCCACATAAAAAATATTAAGTATCTTTTTTTATATACATATTTCAATATAAATATAATAAATTAAAGTATGTATTTAATTATAATTATTATAAAATTATATATATTTATTTATATAAAATTACATAAAAATATTAAAATTAATTTATTATCAATATAATTATTTTTTTAGAAATAATGTAAAACAAATACGAGTCGAGCAAGAAAACCTGGAACCAACATAGAGAATGGAGACTTAATTTCTAATATTGATAGGGATTGGAAGCGGGAACAAGGATGATTAAAAAATTCGATCAGAGGGATGATTGTCATGCTTATATATAAGATAGGTTAAAGCAAGAAAGGAGAGAGATTGATAAAGGGAGAGAGTGGAGAAAAGAGAAAGAGAAAAAAATATAAAAGCAACATCCATAAAATGTTAATATATCATCAACAATCATTAAGACAAGATAATGAATATTATATCATTCTATTTTTAATTATGATTATAAAGTTAAGTATCTATAACCCCATTTTATTTATTCTTTTATATTGATTTTATTGCTAGTTATTTATATGTTTTATTTTATTTATCTTCGATTACGTAATTATCCTATTCTATTTATCTCAAATTACATATTTGTTCTCTTTATTTATTTGTTTATTTATATTGTTTACTCTAGTTAGATACTGAAATTCATTTATTAATTTATATTTATATTTTTTTTAAAGAATAATATTTTATTTATAAAGATTTGATGATATTGTAGATAGATATTAGATATCAAAGATATAAATAAATTTATGTTCATTTATCATGACTATTCCCTACAAAAATCAATTCAAATATTGACAATTTAAAATAAATGTAAGATGTTGATGAAATTAAAAAGTTAATTTTGTATATTATTTTAAGATAATAGTATTTTACATTATATTTATTATTACTTCTTTATTTTATTTCATGTGCATGATACAATTAAAAATATCAACTTAAATAGATAAAGACGTAAAACTCAAAGACAAAATCGAAACTATGTAAACTTAAAAATTTTATAAAATTATACATATAAATGTTTAAACGTTTAGCTATATCTTACTTTTGTCAAGATAATCATTATCTGAAATATAATTAAATTAATAATGTGATAAAAAGCACTTCACACATGTTATTTTAAACTTTTAATGTAATAATTAAATGTGATTTTTAATTAATAATTATCATTTTATTTAGAAGAATAAGAAGAGAAAAGAATAAAAGATAATAAGAGTAAAAATAAAAGTATAATAAGCAAATAAAAAGAGATACAAAAAATTAAGGAGGGACACTAGAGAGATAAGAATGAAACAACAAAATAAATGATAATTTTTTTAATAAAATTTTCTATACGAAAAATAAATTAATATAGTTAGATAAATAAATTAATATAAAAAATAAGTAATTTTTTTAAAATATATAATTGATAAAATTAATTTTATTTTCGAATTTTATTACCAATTAGTTGATTAAGAGAATTTAATTATAGATTATGTTTGGATGAGAATATATAAATGAGAGATTTTAAAATAAGGAAATACTTTCCAATTCAAGTTCACAAAGGAGATGGAAGATTTAAAAAAAATAAATTTACTATTATAGTTTTTAATTTTAAGACATGTTTAGATAAAAGAATCTATAAATAATTATAAAAAATATATTTTTAATTAAAATTATCTTATGCATACATTTAAAATAAAAATAAAAACTTTAAAATAAAAGTTATAACAGTTTTAAAAAATATATATTAATGTTCCATTAAATAACAGTTACCTACTATGTAACTTATATCTGATATGTGTTAAGGAAAATGTTCATAAAATGAGCATTGAAAGCATTGGGATCCACTTACGGATAGATTATAAATATTACATTAGAATTGCATTATTTTAGTATAAATTATATATTTTTTTCATAAATGCTTTTAAAAAATTAAATTTATTTAAAATAACTCTCAAATATATTAAAATATTATTTAAGCAATTTTTAGTAAAAATACTCTTACGCGTATATTTTTTTTATTAATTTTTATAAGCATAAGATAGTTTAAATGATTGTGAAGAGAGATATTTGAAATCCAACTATATAAAATAATATATTTAATATTTATAATATATTTATTATTATATTAAATAATATTTAAAATATATTATTTCATTATATAATAATATAAATATCATTAAAATAATTCATCTTTCTATTTAATTTTATAAGTGTAAATAAAATACTAATTTTATAAAATTAAATTATAAATTATTTTTAATTGTTAATATTTTTCTTGTAAATAGTTTTATTAACTTAATTATAAAAATATTATAAAATAAAATTTAATATATATATATATATATGTTAAAATAATAATTTGTCATAATTATTATATTAAAAATTATAAATAGCAATAATAATAAACGTTTAACTTTTATAGTTAGAATAGGTGAATACTTTTATATTAATGGATGAAATAATTTAGATATGGATAATATGATATGTTTGTCTTCATCATTACTAAAATATCTATACTTATTACTATTCATTGCAGAAATTTGTAAGTACATATATCTCAAGAAAAATAAAATAAGTTTGGTTAACCTCAAAACTATACAAATATAGAGTTTAATAACTTATTTTCATAAATTAAAATCTAATATCTCTTTATATTTCAAAAACTCTCCTAATTTAATTATGTTGGAATTCAGATTGAAAATATGACAGGAAAGTTAGAAAGACATAAAAGGATATTAACTTATTGGAAGTTGATTTTGGATAAGTTATTGTATTTTTCTTAAAATTTATTGGAAGTTTATGAGTTAAGAGAAAAAGGAACCCTTAATAACTAAAAATATGTTCATATGTTAAAATGTTTTAATCATGAAGAGAATTGAAAAGAATATTGGGTTATCGATTTATTTTAAGGGAACTTTATTTTATTTAAAAATAATTTATACGAGAGCAAATAATAACTAAAAATTATGTTAAGTGCGATAAATATTTGAATTATGAAGAGAGTAGTAAAGGACATTGAATTGCTGTCTTACTTTAAAAATGAGACTTTATTTCACTTAGGAATAATTAAAATGAGAGAAGTTAATATTCAAGAATAAGTTTTATATATTTTTTGGAGGTGGAAAACATTAGAAAGTATGTTCTTAGGGTTATTTTGTACATGGATTTATGTATGGCGCATCTTAGTAGTAAAATAGTTGCGGTTTGAAAAAGTATTTTTCAAATTATATAATTTATCATCAGTTTTATCATATTATTTAAGTTATACGTCGAACATTTTACGTAAAAATGAAAAAACGGATTAAGTTTAATGTACTGTTACCTAAAAAACGGTGTCCCGTTCCACTTAATTTCTCAATTAAACGGATTAAGGATAGGAAATATTAAAATAAAAATAAAAATAATTATAATTAAAAATATTATATTTTTTCATATTATTAAAATATTTAAATATATTATAATATTATAAATTAAATTATAAAAAATAATTAAATTAAATTTATTAATTATGATTAATTATTTTAACACATAAATATAATAATTTATCTTAATAAAAATATTAATTAATAAATAAAAACTTAAAAATTATTCATATAATTAAATATGTGCATTTTTTAAAATATATATACAAATATTTATATAAAAAAAGTTATTGTTAATCTGTCAATTATAACGAATCAAAGATGAGATAATAAAAAATAAAATGTCACTCAAAAAGATAATTAATATGACATGGTCAAAGAATTGAAAACATTCACGCACAGATACCTAAAAAAAACGTAACAAGTGTTTATCTCAAGTGAATTGGACGCTTATTGAGAAATGATTTTGTAAATATGTAACAGTGATTAGTTGGACACTGAAGCTAAAAACTAATAAAGGAGAGAAAATAAATTTTGTTTCTTAATTGCTGAAGCAATCAAGAGGATGTTCCAACAAGTAACAATCAAAATTTAAGACATTGCTTCTAAAACTTTATTCATGTGCTCTAAAGAACGATCAAATGAAGTAGTCATGTCACTCTCAAGTGTTAAGTTATTGACCAAGCGAGCATAAGACAAAACCAAATGGATTCAACGATGGAAATACTTCGCTCAAGAAAGAAAGTGAACTGAAGTGATGTATCTATGTCTAAAAAGGACGAAATTATGTATATACCGCTACGTGGGATATTTCTCAATTTGAGACGAATATGTTAATAATACATGGACAATTTGCTTGAGATTGTGGCCAAGAAACCAGTAGATCGTAAGATGTAGGTACTACCGAGTTATATGTTGTTTGGTTACTAAGGGTTGGTATACTTAATGATACTTATATTCTAGTATACGGTATTAGATTATTATTACTCTATAAGAAAGTTACATGTCATCAATTAGGGATATATACATCTAAGTTAAAGTATAATTATTAGAAATATTGTTACGTGTATTAAAATAGCTAATGAAATTGTTGTTATAATATAGTTCAAACGGTTAAATTAGAAAAATAGAAGTGCTATCATATAATTTTGTATCGACTAAATTTACAAGTTGGAGATAAGACTCTAATCGCTGATATCCGTCACAAGATAAATCATTGCGTCTCAATCTCTAACTAATTCTACTATAGAGGTCAACGATAGACAATAACTTCCCCCAACATAGCTCACAACTTTCATCTTACTGTGTTCGTGCTCTCTAAAAAGCAACTCAGTCAATTGTTTAGATCGTGATATATCATTAAGAAATAAGAATTTGTGTTTTCAAAAGATTTCCTACGATTTTTTCTAGTATAGAATAAGTCAATAATCCACTTTTGTATCTTATTGAACAAAAATGGTGATATTATTCCTCTATTAATCAAGAGTTGTCTCGCGCTCATAGATATTCTCTACCTACCCACCTGTGTTGATTTCTGGTACAGGTAATCTATTTGTTGAAGACCGTTCGAGCTTTTTTTGGGAGTATGATATTAATTACTCTAGTGTTATAACACCTAGTACTCAAACTTTAACTTGAGTCATAAATCCAGTAGCCCAAACAAGATGTCCAAACAAGAACATTCAATAAACTATTCATATCAAAGGGGTTATATCCATTGATAAATTATGAACAGTTCAACCATAGATAATCTCTTAACCATCCCATCAAATAAGTAGAAGATTCATTAAACTTTGAAATATTACCCTACCATAGTGTAATGTGTTTTTAATGCCAATAAAAAGTCAATGGTGTTTAACACCCAGAAAACTGCTAAATAAAATATCGTTGGGTAATTCAAGTGTGAATTAAGTCTCACATTGAGTAAGAATAAGAAAGTTGAGCAATATATAAGAAAATATGACTCATAACCTAATGTCTTAAAGGTTTTAGGGTGAGAGTGGTGTCAACATTGATGTCATTCTCCCTAATGAATCTCCCTCGAAAGGCCTAACAAGTTATATTATATTCGTTAGAGTGGTAATTTTTGTATCAAAAGTCTTTATAGACTCACAACTTGAGAGAGATTGTTGGGAATCCAAGTGTAAGCTAAGTCCCACCACAAGGAAAACTATAACCAAATTTTTTTTTATCAGACATTAACTTAAAACCACATTCATCAAAACACCTTTGACTAAGATTAATATAGTTGTATGTAAACCAAAAGTAATAACATAACGAATCAAGAAATCTTCAAGCCCTATTGTTAAGAGTAGAAAATTATTATTTTTATTTACAACATTTAACCAACCAAGCAAACATATGTTTCGTCTAAGATTAATGTAGTTGTATGTAAATCAAGAGTAATACCATAACAAATCAAGAAGTTTCCAAGCTCTATGGTTAAGAATAGAAAATTATTATTTTTGTTTACAATGTTTAACCAACTAAGCAAGCATATGTTTCATCCCGCATTGAACGTCGATCTGTTAGTTGAAGATAAAAGTATATAGAACCCATATGAAGTTTTACCATTATTACATTGATGGTGACGTGTAACATCTTAAAATTTATCATGTAAACTTTTTTAAATATAATATATTAAATTATAATATTTTAGATAACTTAAATATTTATATAATAAAAAACTCATTGATTGAAAATTATTATTATTTAAATTATTAGTAAGAAAATATTTATTAAAGAATATAATTATTAGTGATTAATTATTAATATATGATTAATAAAAGAAAAAAATAAAAAAATGAGAGAGAAGTAGGGATGACAATTAAACCCGTCCCTGTGGAGACCGACCCGTCCCCACCCCGAGTATGACGAGAAAAACCCGAGTTGACCGGAGGCGGGGCGGGTTCGGGTTTTCCGCTTTAAAAGTCGGGGCGGGGACGGGGATGAGTAATGCAATCCCCACCCCGACCCGTCCCCGCCGGACTTTATATTTAAATTTAAATTTTAAAATTTTAATATTTTAAAAATATTTCCTTTTCTTTTTCTATTACATATAATGTCATTTTTTTATATTTCACCAATTTTTTTTCTTCTACCCACTTTTTAATTTTTTTGTCTTTTTTAATCTTTTATATCAATTAATTTATTACATTATTCTTTCTCTTACATTTCAGTTTTTCACATTTCTTTAATCTCTCCCATCAATTTGTTTTTTTTTTCAATCTTTTCAACCAATTTGATGAACACAAAGTTAATTTATTTATTTATTTATCTTTTTTCTAAATATTTTACATAAATCTTAGTAGTAACTAATATTATTTTATTTATAATTTATATTTATTAGGTTTTATTATGTCATATTTTTTTATCTTATTATTCTTATTTATCATATGTGAAATTTTATCTTAATAAAATAATTGTATTTTAAAAGACTAAAGGAATTGATAATTTAAATTTTTATTACTTCGAATTAATTGAATAAGAATTAACTTATTAAATATTTCCTTATAAATTATATATTTTATATTTTTAAATGACAACTTAAAAATGAATTAACTTATATATATAATCAAATGTTATAAATATTCAAATATTTGAATACGAGTGTTATAATAATAATAATATTATAAATAAAAAATGATTAAATATTTCTTTTACATACATATTTTAATATAAATATAATAAATTAAAATGTATATTTAATTAATAATAATTATAAATTATAAATATTTATATATATTTTAAAAATAAATAGTAAAATTAATTTATTATAAATGTAATTATTTTTTTTAAAATAATATAAATCGGGACTGAAACCGAAACCCAGCGTGAACGGGGATGAAGACTTAATTTCTAACCCGACGGGATCGGGAGCGGGACGGGGATAGTTAAAAAAGTCGGGAGCGGGGATCGGGGAGATAAAACCCGCTCCCGCCCTCTTGCCATGCCTAGAGAGAAGGGAAAGGGGAGAGAAAAAAAAAGGAAAAGAGAGAAAACGAGAAAGAGAAAAGTAAGACAAACCAAGAAAAAAGGGAGAGGAAGAGAGAAAAGAAAAAGAAAGAAAAGAGAAAGAAAGAAAAAATAAAATAAAAGATAAAATCAATTTTATAAATAATATATTTTTAAAAAAATTATTTAATAAAATATTTCTAAATTTATTTATCTAATCATAGTTGTGTACTGTTTATACACAAAATTTAATAAGAAAAAATAATTTGTTCTTATGTAATAGAATTTTTTATTTCTTTTTTTTATTTACTTCTTATTATTATATTTTCTCTATCTTCATTTAATGTTTATTTTTTTTTCATTTTTTTCTTTTCTCACTCCATCTTATTCATCAATTAAAAGTATTAAATTGAATTAATAGAAATTTGATAGAATGAGTATTTTATTATTTAAAAAATATATTTAAATGATATAAAAATAATATAATTTAATATATTATATTTTAAAAATATTATATGATAAATTTGAGACACAAATATTATTGTTATGTTATAATTATTAAGAACAAAATAAATATTTATTTTAAAGTATTTTTTAATAAATATTTAAAAAATACCTACTTTAATTAATTAAATTACTAAGTAAAAAATATATTTAACTTTTTTTAATTAGATGAATAATTGTTTGTTATGAAATAATTTTAAATTAATTATTTACATACAAAAAATTATGAGAAGAGATAAGAAAAAGTACATGTGAATAGTAAGGAGATCTATTTACGTAAATAAATCAATAAAGATTCTATTCGATGCATAATGTATAATCCCTGTAAGGTAAAGGAGAGAGATTTGCGTTGTTTTATTTATTTTATTGATAACTATGATTATTGAGTGAGACGTTTCAAATCTTATTTTATTTTTTTATTTATTTATCTTTAGTTTTATTAATATTTTTTATATTTTATATATAATTATTTATCTTCACTTATACATTTTTCTTAATTTATATTTTATTTATTTATTTATTTATAATTACGCAATTATTTTCTTTATTTATAATATTTACTTTATTTTTAATTATACATTGGTATTTTTTATTAATCTATATTTATATTATTTTTTTAATTTTATTAAGGAATAATATTTTATTTATGAGAATTTGGTGACATTATAGTTAAATGTTGAATTTTAAGAATTAAATGAGTAAATAACACTAAATAATTAATAATTATTAATTGTGGATTTATTTATTTTGATCAGTCCTTATAAAAATTAATTTAAATTTTCATATTTTTAAATTAATGAAAAATGTTCATGAAAATAAAAAGTTTATTTTGTATATTATTTTAAGATCTTATTACTTTAGATGATATAAAGTTGAATTTAGAGAAATAAATTTTCACAATTCTAAAGAAGTTATAACCCATAAAATATTTAACTGTGAATTAAAGAATTAGAAAAAATATTGAATTATGAATTGTTTCAACAATCAAGAAGTAAATTATGTTAATGTTAATCAGAAAGTCTGGATATTAGTGAGATAATATTAAAAAAATGAGAAACAATAATCATGACTTAAAAAAATATTTTGATGTAAGAAGGGAAAAAAATAAAATTTATATAATTAAAACATAATACGACAATAGAAGAATATGTGGCTAGCTTAAAATTTGATAAAGAATTTAGACGGAAATTAAAATAAACAGTAAGAATATTATAAATTTTTTGGCTCTGTATGCTTATTCACAAGGTAGATTTTTGAAAAAAATTTAAAAATACTTAAAATAACAAATCAAAATATTCTAAAAGAATATGAAATGAGAGAAACCTGCAGTCAATCCCAACAGAGACTTCAATTCAATTAACTTTCCTAAGAAATTCTAATAAACTTATTCTCGAACGGAACTAATTTCTATAATACCGTGATATCATCTTCTAAATCTACGAATTAAATAAATAATTGCAAGAGTTATGTGAAAAATAATTCATATCATAATGTAATTTTAACGAGTCATATTTTGTTAGTTTAAAAATATCAAAAGTTTTAGAATATGTGCAAAAATTTAGGTGAAAAATACATTTTGTAAATTTCGAAAATGTTAAAAATCCTCGCAAGCACATGCATTTTGTTTGTTGTGGTAGACAGGTTGGCACTGTACAAGCCGAATTTGTCCCATTTTTGTGCGTGGCCTGACCTGTTTTTTCTGAGAAGCTCACCCTTCAATTTGACAGGAGGGGACCTGCCCACTGCCAGAATCGAGGCCACAAAAATTGTGTCTGTCTCACATGTCCACATCGTTTGCAGTCCATCATTTAAGATGATAACGTGTTATTAAACCGTCTTTCCATCTGATAAGAAAAACTACTATTTTCTCGTAAGAGACTTTGTGTCAAAACAATGCAAGGGACTGTTTTATAAAAATCATAAAAATAATATTATATATAATCATTTATGTTATTCCTCTATTTATATATAATTAATGGTGGAGGATTATAATATTTGAGGGGTCATAATTTTTCAAATTTTTTAAATTATTTATAATCTTGATTTTTTTATTTTTTTAATGTTTAAATTTAATAACCCTTAGTTAAAATTATTGAAATGTTTTAAGATATTTAAATTTTGTGATACATTAATGCTGAACCCAAATCTATTTTTTAAAGATATTTTAAGAGATTTCAATCTATTTTATTTAAAAAGTTTTTAATTTTAATCTTTCAAAATCATTAATCAATATTTATTTTTACAATTTTATAACTAAAGAGAAACAATTAATTAGGGAGCTTCGTAATACAAGTTCCGTAACAGTCATGTAACATTTTATTTTTTGTATTTCTGTTGATGAGAATATTAATAATGATAAAACATATATAAATAATATTAGTAATTTATATATTTTTTTCATATAATTTTTCATCCAAGCTTGCATAAGATATATTTGATGAGATAAAATGAGTAAATTTGAATAGAAAAAAAATAAAAATGAAATTATTTAGATTAAGAGAAACATAATATAAACGAAGATAAATAAGAGAAAAAATTATAAAAATATGTAACTGAGATGATTAATTTAATAAATTAAAAAAATAAGTAATAAATAAATAAAAATATTTTTATTTATTATTTTTAAGTTGTTTATTATAATTATATATAGTTTTTAATAAAATTATTATATATCAAATATTTAAATTTAAATTATTGATTGTACAGTATTTTTATGCCTTTCTATTCACAAAGAAAAGATGAATTTATTTATTTGGTAAAATATGAAGATTTGCGCATAGTTTTTCAACTTTTCCGTCGTTCTTTCTTAATTCACATGTTTTCTGCAAAAACAAACAGGGTCTCTGTCTGCAGAAACAAACAGGGCGTAAATCCGCATGACAAAAACACAGTAGAAACGTGTGGTTTTTATTGGCCCAAGTGTTACCTTATTTATTACTATTAAACCAACAGTTGGAGAAAGCAGGAAAACCGGAAATTGAGATCCACTCAATGATACAACTACCAAGGAAACTATCTTACAGTCAGACATACCACTTCAACGGTTATAAAAAAAAAAGAGCGAATGATAGTAAATTTTAGATGAGGAGAATAATATTTTGGTAATTAATTCCTTACTAGTGATCATGATGTTTCTAGATTATAAGATGAATTTAAGTGTTTTGAAAATGACAGATTTAAATAAAAAGAGAGATAAAAACGAGTTTGTTTGAATTAAGAAAAAGAAGATAAAAAATATAAAAAAATAAGAGAAAAATTTATAAGAACTAATAAATTATTTGATTTATATAAATGATAAAAATATATTTTAATAAAAAATATAAAATAATCAAATTATCTTTTGCATAAAAATTATTATTATTATTTAAAATATTATAATTATTTAAATTATTTTTATTTAAATTATTATTATAATTATTTTATTAAAAATAATATTATTATAATTTATATATTATATATAAATTTGAGGATAATTTTTTTTGTAAATTACAAAATTTCTACATTGATAAATAAAATTTTATCGCAAATCTTAAAAAAGAGAGGAAGGTTGACTATAAACGAGGAACTGAAAATGAATGAATTTGAAAAGAAAGGGAGACAAAGTTAGAGTTGTTTAGATGAAGGGAAAATTTATTAGAAATGAGAGTAAATGAAATGAAAGTTTGTGAATGATGTAATTGATTTGATAAATTAAAAAATTAAGATTTATTTGGTAAAATGGATATATTGTTATTTTGTCCTTGACTTAAATAAATATTTGAAAATAAAATATATGTTAAGTAAGTAATGTTAAAATTAGATATGATATATTATTTAAAATATATTATTATTTAATTATATGAATTTATTATAAAATTAAATATGTGACTTGGAAATTAATTTGAAAAAAATGAATTAATTTTTAAAAATGAAATAAAATTATAATTTAAATGAATAATTTATTTGTAATTAATTATAAAGTTAATTTAAATTTAAGGATATAGTTAAGAATGAAAGTTGATAAAATAAATTGTAAAATTATAAAAAAATACAAAACAAATAGAAGCAAATATTCATAGTATATTGTCAGAATGTCATAGTCATACATAATAATGAACATGAATATAAAAGTAAGCAAATTAAGACATCATTTCTATTGAAATGAGTATTAAAAGTTGTTAAATTGCTCCTCCAAACGGTTAATTCTATCATGAACCATATTGAAACCCATGCTAACATTTATGTTTAGATTAGTTAAACTATCTTTCATCCGCTGCATTATTGCTTGCATGTCTTGAATCCCCTAAATTTGTGAAAAAATTTAACCATCATGGGGAACTGAATGCGGCTAAACTGATTCATGGTGGACTAGACTTTCTTGTCCAAGGTTTGTTGCATCATCATCAGGTATAGCAAGGTCTTCATCATCATCATTTTTATCTTCCTAGTAGATCCTTTTATGCCACACGTCGTTGACACAATTAACATTTAATTTGTTCAATGTTCTTTTACTAAAGTAATGAGTTCAACTGATTGAGACATGACCATGAGTAAGGACAATAATCCATTTGAAGTATGTGGAGGACCTATGACAAGGACTTGAGCAAGGGAAGCTCTTCAACAAATGTTGTCCATATTATTTGAATACAAGCCCACGTTTCAAGAAGAAAAGACCAAAGTTGTGAATTGCATCATGGTCCAATTGGAGAAAGACTAATGTGTCACTTTGTTTCAGTCTTTAAGTTTGTTTAAATAAGAGCCTAATCCTTTGTAAAATTGGTTGATCAAATTATGTTTTGGATTAATCAATTAATGAGTTTTAGTTTAGTTTGTTTCAAGTTGTAATAAGGTCCCAATTGGAAACTTAGGCATCAGCCTTTGGGAGATGAAGAGGATGCATAGCTGATTGGCTTTTGGTTGCCATAATTTCAGTTACAATAAATCATTAAGTAGTTTTTAATTCTTAAGTTAATGAATCATTATTAGCATTTATTTGTCTCAATTAAGTAGTTTCCAATTTCTTAATGGATCATTATTAACATGTATTTGCCTCCATTAAGTAGTTTTCAATTTCTAGATTAATGGATCATTATTAACATTTATTTCCTATATTGAATCTTTGTAACTCTGATGGAAAAATTTCTATATAAGCAGAACCATTTTTTATCAAAAATACAAGTTAAGTTTTATTCAGAAATATTAAAGTTTAGCTCTTTTATCTTGGTGAGAGTGATTATCCTAAGTTCTTGAGTGATTCAAGAACCTTTGGTTGTATCAAAGGACTTTCACATCCTTTGTGAGTTGTCTCCCTTGGGAATAATGATTCTTTCCTTCGACCTTTCACATTTACCTCTTGTCCTTTTTTTCACCAGAACCCATGAAACATAATTTTACCCAGATTTATTTCGTGGTCATAACTTTCGTTCTGCTAGTCCAAATTGAGTGTTTTTTGAACCTAAATTGAAATTCAGAATGAGAAATTTCTCCTCGTTTTTGAATCACCTCAATCGAAGTTTTATAGCTCGAGATATCGACGTTTCTAAAATTATGCCCAACCGTGAAACTTTTACCACTTTTTAATCCACCTTCTCACTAATTTCCTAAATTTCCTACAAGGTTCTAACCCTAAATATCCTAAGTCAGCTCTTGTGCAAATGAGGTTCATATCACCAACCCAAGATGATGGAAGAATCCAAATTCAAATTCACGTCATAATGTACCATCATGCGTGTGATGAGTATGGCGTATGGAAGATGCATGTTATTATTCATGCATTTAACATATGTTGCATAATATGATGCGGACAATTAATCAGAATGTTACTTTTCAATGCTGACAATATAAAAATATCCTCTTGTGTTAATTTTTCAAAATTTGTCATTCAAGGAGTCAATATATGAACAAGGACATACTACAAAAGTTTGTCATTGATTTACAAACTTCCTGCATTTCTAACATTCTGACCTTAGACTTATGGTCTTAACATTGAGTATAATATTATTTCTTAGTCGTACTTCATATTTTCTGAGATATTAGGAAATGACATCTTTTATCCTTCATATTTATGATCAGTCAGAGTTAACCAATACGCAGATCTTATTTTGATGTTTTTCCTATTCATCTCATTATACAGATTCTCCTGTTTTGTGATTTTTAGGTTCGTCTAAAAGACTCAACCTAGCTCATCATAATATTCTAAATTTAACATACAAAATTGTGCTACCCTTTGAAACTGAATATGGTTATGGAAGTGTACGCCTAATGTGACAAATAAGGGGAAATTCAATACCTTTGAACTCAAAATTTTTTGCTCGTTAAATGAGTTATTATATTGTACCATTTGTTCATGTGTGTTGAACTAACACATAAGATTTAAGACATTCTCAATCTCGATTTGTTGTGAATGATCTCCATGATCAAAAACAACACTTTTCCTTTTTTGTCCTTGTCACTTTGATGTCTTTTTGATGAGGAGGTCATGCCTACAAATATAACAAAAAATGATAATTGTGAATAAAAGGCAAAATATAAAACATACTACAATTAATGATAAGTTGTAAATGACTAATTCATAACATAAAAGGCAGTTAAAGTAAATGATATAAATAACAAATAAATTGTTCAATACACATTTACATTTATACAAGCCACTAAAATAATTCCCAATCAAATTACAAACAAATCAACCCTGATTTCCTGACATCATACTAATTAATTTGTTCATACAGCTAGAAGTTGGCATCCCAAATAGGAGTTTTGTGTATGATGGATGTGCACACAAGAAGTCGTAACATTGGTCCATCACTTCTTCATCACCAATTCCCATGTCAACTAATAACTATCAGATGTCGGTCTCAGAGTGAAGATAAAGTGCAGAATTTTAAGTAATAAAGTAAACAAACTTAAGGAAAATTTCCACAAGACATTAAGATAGTTGTCTATCTAGATGTGAAGGTTTATTTCCAAGGATTAGGAGGTGGAGAGGAGATGGAAAGAAGCTAGAAAAGAATAAAGACAAGGGCTGGAAAATTGGACCAGCTCCTTGGATAAATAGATGAAGTGAAGAAATAAAGAAGAAAAGATGAAGGGAAGAGAAGTATGGTGGTGGTGAAGTGTTGACACGCCACTAGGGGATGAGCCACCCTAGATAAGTGGTGGTTGTCGCCACTTGAACCAAGGTTCAAGATAAGATACTCAAAGAAATGGAACACTCTAAAAAATCTCACAAACTTGTCATAAAATGTTCAACCTCATTACATGAGGGGAAACCTTCTATTTATAGGCCTTTGGAGGAGAGACCTAGATGGAATTACAAAAGGAGATATAAACTTATCCTAAACCTAAAAGCTAAGAGTCTCCAAGGTCCAAATATGTTAAATTCGTCCTAGTCAATCAAAAGTGCCTCTAAGGGTGTGGAGAACATGAAAAAGGAGGTGAGGTCCTCTATGAGCTGTCCAAAGCCAATCAAACCCACAAACCAAGCTTTTTCCTCTTCATAAAGGGGTGTAGGACATGAAAAAGGAATGTCCTATACCTTTGGGTTGCCCACACATCCAAACCCTCTTTTCTAACAAAAAGAGGTGGTATTCTTCAAAAAGGAGATGCAAAAAGTGAGCAAACAAAAGAAAAACGAAAATAAGTCAAAAACATAGAAAAAATAAAATACTAAGTAAATTAAAAATGAAGGGTGAGAAGGAAACCCTCGTTTTAGCAATGCTCCTAGTGATCCTCCTAGGAATTACCTCTTCTGTCTCCTAGGAAACTAGGGACTCAGCACAATAACTTGTTCCTATTTTCAGCAACCATGACTTATCTTTTCAAATATCTGGACAATCTGTCAGAAATGTCGTTGCCTCTGCTAATTACTTAAACGACAATGTCCAATTTGATATTTAAATTTTTAAACTGGGTCTCCACCACATCTATCATCGATGTCTTCCTTTTTGAGTCCCGAGAAGAAGATGTACCACCAGATGGGATAAATGGTGTTGGTGTTGGACTATGTTAATCCATGTATGGGGGAGTGAGGAACATCTTCTACTAAGCCATGAAATGCAGGGTCCT